AGACCAAAATGTTCAGCTCTATATTTGTACCTGCGGAGCATCTACTGAAATGGCATACTGAAGAGAGCCCACTTGATTGGTCGATATTGTAGTTGTCGGATGTTTGACGTGCAAGATTTCCATCTTAATAACTGCAGCAACTTTTCCATATGAGACCTTCAGAAAGTCAGCTATGCATGACCATACATTAGGTACAGTCATCCAGGGCTCCTTCTTCTATGATAAGAGTCAATCATCGTCTAAGCGTAACCGTTTCCTGACTTGAAGAAATTGTTTTCCTTTTCTGGTGCAGATTCTGATTCTGCTGCTCAAGAATTCGGTGCAAGGCAAATTCATGAGATTTCCAGCTCTTGCATAGACGATAAGTCACTTCTTGGCTGCACCGCTTGGCTTCATAGGTTTGATTACAGGATCATATTTTACAGTATACATTCCGCTGCATAGTAGCAGATTTTTTTTCTGGTTAATTCTGAACTGAATAACTCTAGAAAAGCATCGAGAAAGACCAGCACCTACAGAGACAAGTTACTTAAATATTGACAAAGGTCCATTGTTGACTTAACTGGTTGTTAACGAATTTGCGAAGTACAAACATCTTCAGGGAATGTTATACGAATAGGCAGTTGGTCAGTAACAAAAACAAATAGAAGGAGAATTTGATTTCTACTTTATTTTGAAATTTTCCAACCGAGTCATCAATTTTTTTACTTTTTTTTCTAGTAAGTAGCAGAAAATAGGATGGAATATTTTTGTAAGAAGCAAATAAAGTTATCAACATCTTTCATTTTATTTAGAGTAATTTGACTAAGAAAAAAAGCTCTGAAAACTTTTGTTTATGGAAGAAAGTATAGGAACGTCTGAGTTTTTTGAGTTGATCACTAAATGAAACTAAATGAAAAACTAAATCAATGTTAAGTTTTTCGACAAATTCCATATATTGCCATACAATAAAATGATTATCATTCATCACATTAATTTATTATAGAGTTCATACTTGATTTTTATAAATATGATTGCATTTTTCCTTTCAGATTTTTGTACACAATGTGAATATTTTCAAAACAACATCAATATTGTCTGTAATAGACCTATTCAATAGTCTTGTATGGAAAACAAAAGCATTCAAGAAATTGACTAATATACCTAGAACTCAATTTTATTTTCGTGAATCTTGAGTTTCCGAATAAAAATTGTTTTATTCTTTACTCAACAAACACGATATGATAGGTAGAAGCTACGTTCTAGGAAGGAGTACCAGCACGTAAGAACCAAATTGGCGTATCTAAGATCTTTTTACGGTATTCTTTTGATGCAGTGGAAGCCTCCACTGGACTTGCATCTTATGCAGTCTAATTACAGACTGGTACCAGTGAAGTACCGTTGGTTTTATCGTGAGAAGTTTGTAATGAAACCAAGTGATCAAATATTTCTAGGCACTGTAATTAACGTTGAACTACCTCACAATTGTAATTCATTCTTTATTCTCACTGCCTTTCAATGTGGTTGTTTTTAATAGCATACAGTATTTTTATTATTGTCCCAAAATTTGAGTACCTATTACTACTCCAAAATCGAAATCAATGGTTAACATTCATCCGTACAGTTGATACAGCGTAAACGAATTTCTGAAACATTCACATATATGAATGGCACCAGGTTAAATCAACAAAGCAGTCTGTTTAAGAGTCATTGTCATCCATTTTGAAAGAAATATATTGAAATAAATAACCATTATTCAAAAGCCAACATACTTAGATACGATTTATTTAATGGTTTATCATATAACGGTTAGGTATTTATTTAGAAAATTCTATAGAACTGAAGTCAGTGGTTTGTCAGTGGTTCTTAGAATGATGCCTTCATCTTTTGAGGATATATTTGAGACATGAAGGATGTCAACAAGTTGAAATTAATAATAAATTTAGTACCTTGACTTGCTTCATTTGGAAATAATATACATATGGAGAACTATAAAAACCGCAACGTCATGTAGTAATTTTTCTAATTTTCTACATTTTTAAATGTCAGTGTCAAAACAGAGTATTCAATTCCATATCGAATAAGTCGAGTTTTATTACAATAACACTTCAACCACAACTAGTAGGTAGTTTCATTCTCAATCCATACACTTAGCCGAACAATACGAGTATCAGAATTTCAAGTACCAATTCACCATCAGTGGTGCCATCAGTACCACACTGTCAGTGGCCATGGAGATCCTTCTAGATCTACCCCCTCTCCAAAGTTGTATGGAGAAAGAGGCTAGATTGCTTGTGCAAATTGCCAATTACACAAATCAATTCAATGTAGAGTGCAACAGACTGTTGGTTGACACTGAAAGTAACAGCATTCTGGAAATGACCTCTGACTTTATGCCTTCAACTGTCAACTTCGAACTGCCTTATAAAGTACTGTTCCCGAATAGAGAGGACTGGATCCTCTGGGAGAAGGAAATATTGAGAGCAGATAGTTGTTGGTACACAGATGGATCAAAAACATCTTCCGGTTCAGGTGCGGGTTTGTTCAGTCGCAGACCCAGAACAGAGATATCAACCTGGCTATGCGACTGTATTTCAAGCTGAAATTTACGCTAATGAATTGTGTGCGGAGGGATTGGAAGAATCCAACCTCATACACAAGTCAATGAAAATATTATCGGGCAGTCAAGCGGCGTTGAAAGATCTTGGCTCCTACCGAGCAACATCCAAATTGGTAGCAAATTGACAAAAACAACTCTCCCCGATAGGAAGACTCAACAGATTGTCTCTGGTCTGGATTCCTGGCCATACTGGCCTGGAAGGCAATGAGCCGGCTGACTCCCTTGCAAAGGAGGGTACCGCAAGCAGCTTCATCGGACCCTAACCTGTCATTTGCATCGCTTTAGGCCAAACAAAGATTTAACACCTGGATGGCAAGAAGATTTATAGACTTCTGGCAGAATCTTCCAGGATTGGTTCACTCCAAGGCGTTTATTCACCCTTCAAAGCTTGATACCAAATAGTTGTTGGACGACAGTAGGAAATAACTACGATGTCTAACAGGCCTTCTTACAGGTCACTGCCATTTGAATCATCATTTGCAGAGACTCGGACTGTCGGACTGTCGCCTCTATTTGGAAAATGATGAAACAGCAGAACACATTCTTTGTGTCTGCCTCTTTAGAGTTCGGCAGAGCCGTAGTCTTACCATCTGACTGGAAATACCACTCATCATACAAACTAATCAGCTTCTTCAAAAAGCTGTGTTTATTTGGTCGAGTGTGAATAAGTGTAAGCCACAAAAAACCCTCGCGGGTTGCGGTGGAGGGTCGAATAGACCCACTCACTTTGGACTTAACCTAACCTAACCAATTCATATCAGTATTTATTACCTGGTAAAGGCGACTTATTTCATTCCAACGCATTTCTTTCTTCAAGTACAAACTCTTATATAACTCTCTATTTTGTTGTCTCAAAAATACTCAGAACAATTTCAAAGACCTAATTGATTTTTGATCTTTCCTTTCAAGATAGTCCGGTAGTTTATTTTTTTGCTACATTTTTATGAACCAAGGTCGTTCGCAGAACTTCATTCAAGATGATGAGCCCAAATGAAGATTGTCATACACAAAATTACCAAAACTAATGAGGATCGACTTATATCTGCCCGTGATAAATCAGTAAAGCTCTGATATAATAAGTCAGAATTAACCATATTTCACCCTTGCTAAAAAGTTTGAAATAATATCGTCATTATCTGAAAGAGATTTTATGTTGAAAATAAAATTTTCTTTTTACCTGAATTACATTTCATCATTTAAATCGACGTCTCGAAAATAGAGTCCATAACATCAAAACAAACTTTTTTAACTTCGAAATAAAGCAACTAAACATAGTCCTCAGCATTCTTGAGATTATTTATCCCATTCTGATTTTCCGTATTTTCAGTGCCAAAATACTAAAATATTTTATTGAATAATATAACTAATCGGTAACCCAAACTCGCCTTGAACCACTCTTTCCACGCTTCCACGCCTATGGACGCCTCAGCACGCTAAAAAGAGATAAGTCGCTAACTTTCGAACAAAATAAAAATGTATAGTTCATTCACTTGATATTTATTATAACCTTCCTAACCTATCTCAATTCACTTCATGTGCAGGGTCGTACTTGGGCCAGGTTAAAAATGAATTATTTATACTGCGCTTTTCATATGAACGGAAAATTCTTAATTGGGATGACTAGTGTTGATAGCATCAACAGGATTAAAGGAAACAATTGCTTAATAACTGACGAGAATAGTAAAATAATACCGGATGAGTCATTATTTTAACTAAATTATATAACTGGATCAAAAGTTTCAAAATTTTGCTGGTGAACTGATATAATTTGAAAATATTTTGATTTCTTCTTCAATTCAAAATTCTTCAATTCCAATGAGCCCTTCTTGATTATTTCATTCCCTCAAGTTTAGAGAACTTTGTAAAAAAAATTTACGATACATTTGTTAATGAATATTCATTCGATTTCCCCTTTCTTCAAATATGCGGTCTAAAGGCTTAGACTTATCAGTATACATACTAGTTTTATCAGAAAGTTACTGGAAGTTGAAACTGTCACGATTATTCGACCAAATAAGTCCTGATACCATGAGTCAATTTAGAATTTGAGAATTATTTTTATTTCAATTATCATTTGAGTATAAACTCGCATAACCTCATTGATAATCTCAAATATCTAAATGATTTTTTAATCATATTATTGTCGATATCAATTAATTGACACCCTTCATATGTAATTTCTTCATATAAAGGACAAATCACAATTATTGCTGAAGTTTTCGGCTGAATGAAGCACAGCAACCGGTTGATCACCCTGTTGTCTGAGCAGAAGAAAACAAATAAGAGTAAAGTTAAAAATCAAACCAATCAAATGGGCATTTATCTCTTTATCATCATCAAGCAGAAGAACACCTCCATTGGTTTGATTAAACTTTAAATTAACGCGCCGTTTTGTCAACAGTGTATTGGTCGTTTGCAGCAACATGCAGCTCTTATTGGCGGACCCAATGCAACGTCGTGTCCGCTATGCCACAAGATGTTCCTCGGGGGGGAAGCGCTCATGGAGCACATGAAGCACACCCACAAAGACCCCAATGCTTCCGGGGTAGCAAGTAAGTACCTAATTTTGATGTTGATATGGTTGTTACCTGCATGCTTTCTGTAGTTGTGGTAGTTTTTTTGTTTTGACCAACTGTCGAGTTGCACCAAAATTTTTAGTTGTCGTAGAAAGGCATGAGACGATAAGTTGTCATATATAGTTATCGATTTCTCTATCAGCATTTTCGGCCAATTCATACAGATCAGTACTATTTTGTGTGTAACTCAGTTGGTTCGCCCATTTATTAGCTTATTTTTGCTTTCATAACCTTTAATTTGCTCTGGCCGTCGATTGAAAAAAAAGTATAGATTAATTATATTTGCGATAGAAACATAAAGTTCAATTTTCAGTAAAGGAACAACTTCTCAGGTGTCTAATTTTGAAAGCCTTGTATATCCGGAAACTTGTGAAGTATCTCTAATGAAGGGCATAACAGAAATAAAAAGAATGTAAGCCTAAATTTGAATACAATTAAAAAATAAATAGAACAGAGGGGAACAAAAATGCTTTCAAGCCTAATCGATCCTTTACAAAAAACCCTTTTATATTTTTAAGTGGATCTAGACATTGATTTATTATTCAAGAAGTCAAATTAACTTCTTTCATATTTTTCGAAGTCTTCTGCTTTACATCCACTAAAACATGAAACGAGGCAGATCATTTATTCCGTTATCTAATGTAGAAATTGTAAATCTAACCTGAGGTATTTATTTACTTTTTATGGAGCTTTTGCGGTCCCTGTCCCATTACAGTATGCTATTTATTTTTTGCTTATTAACAATAGTTAGAATAACACGAGGTGTGATGATAACTGAAGTCTATTTTGAATAGAACTTGGTTTGAAATAAATTGGTGTTTCTAGAAAGTGGTATCGATATAATGGTCAATGAATAAATCAGTAGTGTTAGCGGTGACGGCTACTTTTTCAATTACTTTCATTCAAATTTTTTCACTTTATATCGATACTTTCAACACACATTGATAATTTAATGCTTTTATAAAGATCCTGGGGTGCTTCGCTTTATATCTTTTTTCTCTCTCTGTTGACGTCATCGATCCTTATTTAGCGAAAAGGAGAACCGCCAATCACCCATGTCCTGTTTGCGGGAAACACTATGTCAACGAAGGCTCTCTAAGAAAACATTTAGCTTGTCACCCTGAAACATCGCAATTGTCAAGTTCCTTAAGAATGTGGCCATGTTCTGTATGTCAAGCCGTTTTTACTCACGAATCAGGTACAAATCACTTTTTTGTTCTCATAATATTCTCAACAGTTAGTCCACATATGTAAATCGTGTTATTGAACAGATCGGCATTTTTTTTGTTTTATGGTTTTGGACAAAGTGAAAGGCTTCTTGGTAACAGAACAGGGACAACGGTTTCGAACAGGCTTATTTTCATTTCATTTTACTTTTTTTTTCCTACATATGTGGACCACAACTGATGAGAATATTACTCAAAATGCTTTCAATCATAACTTTGTCAACTTTTTGTCTTTTGTCTGCTTTTCACGCGTTTTTTAGTGAATATTCTGTTAAATTTTCTAAATGCACATTTTACCCACTAGGACTGCTTACCCATATGGAACATATGAGAATGGATCCTAAACATCAGTTTGCTGCGCAATATGTTCTATCTCGCGCAGCTGCTGAAAGGAGGGAACGGGAAACTATTCTGGCTGCAGTCACATCTGCATCCGGTAGTGGACTCCTTGGTTTAACCGGAATGGGACCAGGTAAGAATAATTCATTTAATATATCATAATTTGAGAAAACTGAAGAAACATTTTGCATAAAAAAAAAAGAATAAAATTTGGAACACCTTCCATGATAGGGTTTCGAACGACTTATTTCATAGACATGAAAATATACATTTCTTCCTGTGTCTACACTGGGTACTCAATTGACACAAAAATTGCTTATGACAAATTAAAAGCTTCGGTACTTTCACTTTATTCACGATTCCTCCAAGCTTTCACTGATTTTTGCTAAACGTTCATTCGTTTCATCGTTTTCTAGATTTTTTCCAATTCAGAGTTTTATTTTCGTTCCACCTCGTCCAACCAGTTCGAGTTTTTGCAATATTTAGTTCTTCCGCCACCCTTCTTGTTTCTGTTTAGTCTAGTTATTGAAGGTTTCCAGAACTTTACGATAAATTATTTACATTCATCATAAACGATTATTGTCAAGAATATTCTACAAAAAGTCTATTTTACAACTTTCACCCACGAACTGTTACTAATCTGGACGTGCCAATACTTGATAGGCGATTGTTAGGGTTCAAACTCTCGATTATGACCATCGGGAAGTAGCGAACTATATTCGACTATGGTCTCCTATATTACCTAAGGAGTTGGAAGTGAGTAAAGCACACATTGATTATAATCTAACTATGCTCGACCACGTCTAACTATGGTTGTCGTGAATGAAAACCATTATATTCCACTGCCATACTGAAAGGAAAGTATTTGGCATTAATCATGGTCTGCTATAGACTACTTACTATATCTGCTGACACCACCATCTTGCACTAGTTAGTAATATTGACATTTGAAGTAATTTATCTTCTTTTTTTGGACCATTCATCCCGCTCGTATCTGCTTGAGTATAAACGCAGCAACAACCCATTGTATAAATTGATCGAATCATCGCGAGTACAGTCATTATCATTATAATTATCCATTCAAAAAAAAAAAAATTCCAAAAACTTGTTTCAATTGTTACAGCCAGTGGCAGTCCAATGTGCGCCTCTCCCAGTGCTCACAGTGATAGTTCTTCTGGGAATGGAAGACTATCATCCGCAGGATCGGAAGCAGGAGGACTGAATAATAATAATAACAACTGCAATACGAAATTGGGTGATATATTAAGAAGTAAGTGAAGTTTCGGTAATAAGACTGTGGTCATCCATAAATTGACTTGAAAGGACTTTAAACGGGGCATGTTTAGTATCTCCGGAGGAGGCACTTTCGTTAAGTACTTCAGTTTCCTCAATGATGATTGTAATTTGATAATACTTACTTTCCAATCAATAAAATTAAAGTCGTTGTCTCAAATCGGAAATTGAGAATGGTTATTTCTTTTTATATAGTGGTTCTTTCAAAGCCTCCTTTCAAAGCAACATATTCCATTCAGTAAAACATTAATTCAAGATTCATGATTCAGTTATTAGTATTTCGAATAAAATTCGTTTCAAACGTTAAATCAAAACAGTGCAACTAGTAACAGAATGAGTTAAGATAATAAATAAACCAAAAACAAACTTGTATAGATCACATAATACAGTATCTCAAAAACGATCATATTGAAATTCTCTTGTGATGCTGGTGGAATCGCAAGCCTTACTAAAAGGTTTCAATAGAAATTATTGAAAAATTCCCATTTATGGAAAGTTGAGAGACATAAATTGGGAGTTTCCAGCATAATTTTAGTTGAGAGACAGAAATTGGGAATTGCCGCCATATTCTTAATTTGTGTATAGTACTTATGAATATCTCTTGTTTAGAAGTCCAAACATGCCAAGAACCATTGTGAAACACTCTCAAACAAATGGGTGGATACTTTTTTTTCTACGATTTTCGATAATATATTACACTTTGAAATCCTAATAAAATTTTTGGAATATATTTGGATTATCAGTTTGTACGATACAAGTCATTCACATCAGGCTTTATCCAAAGCGGTTTTATCACTTACTGATATGATTGCATTTTATATAATTTTCGAGAGGATACAATCGAATGCTAAAATTGGATATGTATCAGTAATATAGATGATGAATGAGAATGGCCTCAAGAAAGATCCTCGAGGCATTCCCATACTCAAAAGTTTCCATTAGGGAAAAAATTACATTGAATGACAAATATTTGTTATAAAAAGTCGTTTTTCTTTGCAACATCAAGAGAATCATAAACATAGTCAAAAGCTTCAATTATGCTTCAATTATGTCATTCACCCGTTTTCTGACAGCTTGTATTGTGGACCTATTTCTTTGGAAACACTATTGATGTTCATGTAGTGAAGAATAATAATAAAAAAAGCTGAAAAGTCTGTTTACCAAAGATTTTACCAAGGATTGGGATTATTGACTTCGAGTTGTTTCAACATCGCCTTACCTTGGATATTGAAGTTAATTCACTGATATTTGAAATATTATAAAATATACCCACAGTAAAACATGGGTTAGGTAGATGGGTGAGAGGAAATGATATTTTCTTATGAATTTAATCGAGACAGATGATTTCTTAAATGACATAATTGCCTCCAAGACTTCTTCGGTCACCAGAAGAAAATGTATCTGAAGTATTCCATCATTGTTGAATAAAACCAAATATTCCATGCAATTCCTTATTAAGAAATTTAAAAAATATTCTCTGCTCAGTCTAATTAATCAATTATAAGTTTTTAATCAATTTTCACATTCACCTGTTTTTTTCTTCAGGCAACAATGGACTGCATCAACAATACAACGTTGAAGATCAGCTGCACACGGCGAATCGAATGGCTGTCATAGCAAATATGGTCGGACAAGGTGGAGTACCCCCTGGTCTAGGATCGGACCCATCTGCTGCCGCCAACATAACCGCCGCCAACCTTGCCAATTTAGCGATGCGACTGGGTGTTACACAAGTAAGTTTTCTTCAATACCATATCTATATTGTACATACGGGGGCAAACGGTCGATCCTTTATTACATATTGTTTAAAAAAAAGTGAAGAAAGAATAATACCTCAGCTCATCCTCTTAAATCTTAACTGAAACTCTACCAGAGCCCTCTCCGGGTCAGACCGCCACTTTTTCTGTTACTACTCAACGATACTTCCTATCTAGTCGTTTTATCGTTTTATCATCAACATCAATATATCTAAGTGTATTTGAATTATCCTTTTCAGCCAGCAAATAGATAAGCACTAGAAAGTAGGCATCAAACGTTCATGATTCACTGGTCAACAGATTTATTTCTTATTATTCTTGAAGCTCCCTACTCAGCTCAATAATCAGATTACAAATTCAGTTTCTCCATAATGGGTGAATTGAATTGAAAAAAATTGGTTGAACACTCGGTTCATTCCAATAAAAATATTGAATAAAGTAATCTCTGTTCACCCTAAATAATGAAGAAGTGTGGTATTATTTCTTGGCACTCGATAAAACTCAAAAACAGAACATTCGTGATCCATCGCTGTTTATTCGACCTACCATACTCGTAAGCCGCACCAATAGTGCTAGTGAACTACAAATGTAATGCCTTATTGCACTCAACAGTCCTTATTGGATAGGCCTAAGTATGAGAAGCATGGATATATCCCACATATCCCATTATAAAGATGCAATCTACGTAATCGACTTGAGAAGTTTTTTCTATCTTGAATCCGTATATACTTATTCCTACATGTTTGAAATAATTGAAATTTGTTGATTTGTATTCACGTCTCTCCACTCTTCCTCATCTTCTCTCGCTTTCTAGTTCATTGCAATGTAGACTGTTTTCATTCTTGATTAAATATTTTTAAATGTTGCGAATCTCCATTAGAGGAATACGTTGTTGATCAGCATGAAAGCATTTTCTTTGAATTTCCTCTCAAACCTCCCTAACTTCCATTCGGTTACATATAAAACACGTTTCTTTTTTAAGCGTGTACACCTAACATCTATGAACGGAATTCGAAAATAATACACAGTATGAAAAGGAACAAGTTCAATATAAAAAACAGATCAATTATTCTTGCTGATAACTAGTGTTCGAAACATACTGCCAATACATATTTCAAGCCCCAAGTTGCTCTTAAAGCAAAGCAAACATTTTAACGGCTTCAAAATTTAATCTGATATAATTGAATTTATGAGAAAAGTAATAATTTTTACAAAATATATTTTTCATGACTGGTATACTTCAAAATAATTTTCTGTAGATCGACAAGTAAGACGATCATACGTTTCATATAAAGAATTATGGGTTTTGAGTTCGAACCAAACAATCAAGAATACTACTGTATTTTATCATACAACAAAAACCATTCTGAAGAAACAACGTTTTATTCCAGGCAAACCAGGTGAACAACTCCAGCAATCCTTCAACTCCTCCCATCACCAACGATACGCTGTCGCTCTCCATGAACGCAATGAACGCTATGAGAGCCTCCATGGACAGCATCCGTAACATGGACGTAATGCGTTCCTCTGTCATGGATATGTCCTCGTCACAGCAGTCGCAACAGCAACAGGAGGCGCTTAGGATGCAACACGCCGAAGCCCTCATCAGATCTCAGGCGGAAACAGCACTTCGACTTGCCATGAGCCAGGCTCTGCCACAACTTAATCAACAGGACAGCAGCCACAGCCCACTACGCCATAATGGTAAGTAATTGTATCTCCTTTACTTTCGTGCCCAAAAGTTTCACTCATGAATTATTTTTCAAAACTTCGGAATTACTTTATTTTATCGACCTTTTTTTTGGGTAATGGTTACCTTCCACAATCTGAAAAAATATAAAAATTATAATGGAGAACTTTATACAAGTGTAGAAGGGCAAACTTTTTAGTTTACCCCGATAAGTTACTGCGTAAAAATCAAAGTATTTTTCACAAAGAAAAATCTTCTATTTATCAGTAACTTGTCGTATTTCACAATTTTGCCTATCAAAAAAAAATATTAAGAAATTATACTTATCTTTTACGTTTCGGAGGCCAAAATCTGCCTCCGTCTTCAGAAATGGATAAAAATTCGAATAAATATGCAGTTATTCCTTTTTTGAGAGCTTATTTCTTTACTTCTTCGACAGATGTCAAAGAAGTTTTGAAATATGAAATTATGTCAATGTTGTTGATTGACAACTGAAATATTCGATGTAATACAAGGTACTCTCCGATATCAGTTTGTTGCCATTTCGCCACTATCCAAAGTTTTCTTCAAGATAGGTAGCCAAGTACGATCTATTTCTAAGGAGCTATTCGAGATACAATTCTCCCCAGACATGAGAATTCCTCCACAAAAAATGACTTTCGTTGAATACTTTATTTTATATTTCTGTTGCGGTCTGTCTTTTCAGTTTCTATACATATGCATTTCCTGTTTCAATCGTTGGTCTCACGACTTTTCGAAAATCCCTGTTTCCGTTTCTTCTAATATTTTTGTTTTCACTTTATGTTATCTTTATCTTGCAGAAAATTCTTCCCGTTTCTTACGATTTCTCTTCGCTATTTTCTATATTTTCTATAACGAAACGTAGGTACCTGAAACTTCACACTCGTTCTAATACTGTCCCTATCATGGTTTCTGTTTAATCTACGTCATTTTTTCTTTTACTTCACTCAACTCCCTTTACAACCACTCTCTTGCATTATACTATATTACTAGTTGTTGGCCGCGACTTCGCCCACGTAAAATTTGGTTTGTCACATTGAGTTTCGTGACAGACCATTTCAAACAAATAGTTACAATATTTTTTATCAACACAAAATTACAGGTTTCCATCTTCCATGAAATTCAATACAATCTTTAAACCCCCATTTTTTACCCTTGAGGGTGGACATTCCTGATTCCCTTCCTTGATGCTTATTTACGCTATACAAAGAACCTACCTGCATATTTCAAGATTCTAGGTTCAGTACGGTAATATAAAAGTGGGCAACAGCTATCTGTATCTGTAAAGTAGGGAGGTTGAGTGTAGAACCACAGCACTTAGGCCATATTTGACCCATTGTAAATCCTCCCGAGGAGTTGTCCTCCTAGGTCATCGTCCATCCTGTCCTTTTCAGGAAGGTGGACAGGTCACTGGGAGACATCTCCTTTATATCGGCAGGTGTAGGCCAAGACTCGCCTAACACACAAGACTCTCTTTGGCAACCTTGAGGTGTCTCACGGTGGCCTCCGCGAAGGTTTTAGAAGGTGCAGCGACATTACTGTCATTGCGCGGCTTCTTCAACCTTCTTGGGGTTCCCTCCGTGGAGGTACACAAGTGATGTATCTTTCTTGCAGGGGCAGCCGGTTCCTTGCCTTTATTCAATACGGAGCTCTCGGCTCCCGCCGCAGGAAGTGTCGTTGCTGTGGCTTGGAGTGGGGAAGGAGGAGGAGGGTGCACTTATAGTTGCTGCCACTCCTGCCTCATTCGCTCTCTTTCTCCTTTTGGCTCGCAAATGCGCTTTCGCCTTATCCTTTGTATTACATCACTAGGTGATCTACTACGTCCAGCCTCATTCCAAGTGGTAGATTGGGGTGGACATTTCTGTTCATCCCCTGCTACCGTCTTAGATTGAGGTCAGCACTTCTGTCCAGCCTCGGGATTGGTTTTTGTTTTTGTTGTTTCTGTTTTTGTGTTTGTTTCATTCATGTGTGTTCCCACGAGTAGCAAGGGAAGAGTTGGTCACCTCTGGCAGAGCCCTGCATTACCAGAGGTAGGCTGATTACAATGAGGTTTCACCCAGTTCCCCAAGGGGATTGTTCGTAACCGCAAATCACCCTGCGACCATTCAGCTATCGGCACGATTCCTTACACCTTAGCTTGGGTTGGCTGGTCCACGGTGGCATATTTTGCAAAGGCTTTTGGGGAGTTTTAGTTCCCCTCGCCCTACTTATTTCTGCCACTGACCAGGAGTCTGGCGACCCCGTCCGTAAGGCCACATTAGCTTTCCAGACAGGACCTCCAGTCCCCTGGCCGTTCCCCTATCCGCCACACAGGGGCGCGCTGGATAGGTAGCCCAACCCGCGTGGGGCAATAGCTATTAATTCATATTTTTGCTTTAAAAATACAGTAACTAAAAAAATATGCCAACTATACTAAGTAGTGAGTACCTTCGAGAATCGAATTAACAGATATTCTAAAATGTGCATTGTGAAAAAAGTATCCAATTTAATTGTATTTATGGCTCAGTATTTTGCACATAAGAGGTACTATCTACCGCTACCGTTGGCAGCGGCTTTATTTCTCTGTATAGGTTTTTTGGCCTTTGAGATCGCCGACAGCTTAACTATGCACCATACCGCTTACCATTCTGTTGTATACTCTGAATAATAAATTGTACTGAATACAGGAAAGTCAAAAACTGAATATCTGTTGTTTACTGATTTACATACAATTTTATTAAGAGGAATTTAAGTTTAAATGTTCTCACATCTCACTTTCACTTACAGGGAATTACCAGGGTCACCAAGGGCAATCCTCCCAACAATTGAGTCCTGACCTTACAGAAGCTTTAAGGCTTCAGGAGCAAAGGTTAGAGCAGGCGTTAAGGTTGCACGGTAGCGATCCAAGGTCACTAGGTTTTTCATTATCCAGTCAACAACAGAATCAACAACCGTGAAATTTTAGTTACTACTGAACGCATAATACGTAAATAAATCGTTAAATATTACATTAATTCATATCACAAAAGCGAACGATGACGTATAGTAGAATAGTTTTAAGGCAGGTTAGTTATACTATCGACTTTCGTTGTTACTATTGATATTTTTATCAAATGGAATAAGGTGCTTCGTCTAACGTTGTTGTTCGCTTTTTGGTTTTTGGTTTTTTTTGAGAAAAGTACAAATCATTTTGTTCAGTTTTATTTTAGCTGCTTGTACGGAAAATATGGACTGGATTTTTATGATACGACAAATTTTCAAATTTTCGTGAAATTATGCTAGTTTTAAAACTTAATAATGAGAATACATAGGGTAATAACCACCGAATAAAAAAATAATACCAAATATGTTTTAAATATTTCAGGAAAAGAATTGGTAAAGATATATTCAAATCGTCGCTAAATTCAAATATATTTGAAACTGATTTTGAAAGTTCATCCTATTGAAAAAGAATTTAAAAAACGTCATATACGTAACTTATTTTTATGAATATTCTAAGAAACAACAAATTATGAATCGATCCATAATGGGTGAGCAACGAATACTTTTGTAAGAACAGCTCAGTTCCATTGTAAAATTTTGTAATTCATGTTTAAAATACATGAAAACAGCCGGTCCATATTTCCCATTGAATGATTTTTTTATTGAGTTATTATCTTTAAAATTCAATAATGTGCCAAATAGTTTTTTTTCTCAATTGCGTTTCGTGCGCTCGGTATATGATTCTTGATGGCTAAGCCATATTTTAAAATTAATAATGCACTTTAAAAGTGTACCACTACAAAAATCATTAAACAATGTATAGATTATAAGTGTTATGAATGAATATCCAAACAGGACTGTTTAGGTATTCTGAAATTACTTAAATTTAGGTTGTACATAAATATAATTGTTTATAGAATATAAATATGTATGAATGATATATAGAGAATTTGCAAAACGATTTTTTCTAAGAATGAAAAGTATGAATTTTTGAAAATTATCTTCTATTGGTTTTTATTTTTGCTGTGATTTTTTTTATTTGGCCGGTTTAATGTAACATACCTAGCAATAACGTAATAATTTTTTGCAATGTACACTGTGATTTTACGATATAAATCTTATGATTTTTAATATTTTTAAGAAAACAAATCGGCTTTAAGTTTATTTTTTATTTAATTGAAAAGTACAAACTGAATATTATTTGAGAAATTATATTTTTTCTGAAAATTTGAGAATACTTTTGTATAAATGTTCGAGTGAATGTGAAGATAAATTTTATTTTGTACATTCTCAGAAACCCAACAAAAATTGTACTTAAATTTTATTGAAACGAATTCTTTTTCTGGACACTTAAAATGTGGTTTTATAATTTGTAAATAACTAAAAGTAAGAGCCTCTGTATATAAGCAATCCCAATTTCAAAAATTTGTAACATTTTTAATTTGATTCATTGTCAAAAAATTTGAACTTCAAGAACTCTTTTCTGGTTTGTAAATAGTTTCCAATACAATTTTTTGAATTTTTTATCAATACTACTTCATTCCACATTTATCAATAGCCACATATAGTCAATAGTTGCTAAAGATTACAATAGTAAACAGCATTCACAGCTGTCATAACTTCCCCAAAAAGTGACAAATCAGAGACGTTTTACACACTCAATTATCGTGTAAAATTTCGCAAGTGCATAAGAGTTTATTTCCAACACCCCCGGTAATATTTTCGTTTTTCAAAATTTACCTGAATTTTCGATACCAAATTCTAAACTGAAATTAGGCACTAAAATAACCACTTGTTAAGAATATCAAACATTGAAAGAAAGATTTTGGCTCTGTTTACCTGCACGAAATTGTATAACCCATCCTTTCGATTCCATTTGGTAAGTCAGAATCTATCTTTCACCACAAATTTTCAAGTCATCAACAACCTAGCTGAAATATACAGGGTGTGATTTTTGGGCAGTTTTTTCAAAGAGCTTCTAAGCTTTTTGAGCGAAATTGTCATCTTTTATGCTATTTCTACCGATTATGACGACGGCCAAGGCCACAAAATAATATTCACTTTAACTTGCCATGTAATAATACAGTAAAAACACTGAAATAGCCCGGTTGCACAAAGTGCTTCAAAATATTTTGCCCACTATAATTACTTAGGTAATTATCACACTAAAAATTTTACAATAGCCCAATCAAAAATTGATTTTGAAATAGTTTCGCATTACTCTGACCTCGATGCGTTTTGTTTTCAAAAACAATAGTTGAATTCAACATTTTAGTACCCCAGGTAGACAAAAGTTATTTTGTCTATCATTTAGTGTATTTTACATAAATATTAAAGTCTACTTGCCCGAATGGACAAATATTTATTGTAAAATTACCAAAAGAAAATTTTATTTGCAATAGCCCATAATACAAGTGCGATTTTCGCACAACAGTTTTTCAATTTCTAACCATATTTTGTTAAACGATTTTGTTGAAAGTTTTTTGAGCTTGGTTTGTTGTAAGTGTTCCAGAAGTCCCAAAAAAATGCTGTAGCGTCGCCCCATTCCTCAGTGCATGTACCTTCGTACAAGAATTCAGATAATAAATGTGTTTAGAAATAGTTTATAATAATAACAATTGCCAGGAGTAATTTCTTCTTTCAGTGTTAAATAGATCTATGTATACGTTATGAATAATGTCAAAGTGAAATTTTCATTTTGAACTTATATCTCAGAATTATTTTGAGATTTATATAATAGGTGTCCTTATTTTTGGAAACTTTCCTCTTTCGATTGAGTCGATATTGCTTATTAGCTTTTCCGATCGATTTTATCATTACAAATATATATTGCAAAGCTCGTATTCTAGTCTCGAAAGGCTCTTTGTCTATAACACTATTCATTGACTCACTCATGTATTTTTTCGAAATATCAATATGTTCAATATTTTCCCATCAAAATCTATAGCATTCCTAAATTAGGACGTTTGATCTGATCGCACCGATCGGTAACGCATTTCTAGGACTTATTTTGGATCGGTAACCTCTGATCTAAACCGATTTTTGCAGAATCCTAATTGCAGATTATTTGCCTGACTCAAATAAATTGCTGCTTGTTTCCCATCAGTATAACCGCTTGTAGAGCAAAATAAAGCATTGAAAAATCTAATGGAACAAATGCAACAAATCTGGTTCGTTTAAATCCTCAGTTAAAATGCAATAGTCTAAACGCATAATGAAATACTTCTTATGCTATACAAAAATTCAGATATACCATACTTCAGTTGGAGTTATTTAATAACTGAGTTTTTCGAGATATCCTGCCGATTATTTTCTAAAGATCGGTAGAATAATTCTTGAAACTAGGTTATTTTTCATTTATTTTACAATAATATATTCAGAACTTACATCATAACTACTCTCACACAGTTTGATCAGAAAGCAATTTCAAAATTCAACACTTTAATTTTAATGAATTTTCAAGCGGCCTTTTTATTATTGTTTCGATTATTTTCAATTTACAAAAATCCATGAAACTTTTAGGCGGGTGTTTATAGATTTTGATTTTTTAAATTACACATCAACACTTAATAATATAAAAAGTCTAAAGTCACTTTTGGGAGACACAAACGTTTTGGCCTTACAAACAAATGAAATTCCAAAAATTCAAGATTATTCAATAAAACCACATAATAAATATAGTAGTTTACAATGAATGTTAGTTGCAATTGTTAAGTTATGTTACGTTTTGTATACGTCATGTTATCTATTAAGTTCAACGACTGAAAAGGTATTTTTAAGATCAAACTTTTACAATATTTCTGTATTACTTAGGTCTCATGGACAAGAAAATTTTCATAGGAATCCGGAAAAAAGGTATATTAGGCTCCAAATGGATCTCAGTGTTTTTTTCCAGCACTTTCAAAACATTCGAAATTTCAAATCCCTTTCGCAATGATGTGTCAACAGAGACTGACCTAATTACTTTTCAAAACAAAAAATAGATAATGAATCTGATCAAGTTGACAATTCGCTAGTATTTTCTGCCATAATAACTGCACTAGGATGGTATAGTTAAGTGTTTTATTGTTATACGATGTAGTTCAATAGTTACAGATAAACAAGATTTTTATGTTAGTCTTTTAAGCCACTGGCGAAATGTCAACAAAAAAATAATGATCTTAAAGATACTTTGGATTGAAAATGTTTCTCATCACCATAGTTCAACCTTCCAGTGTAGCGATTTCGCATATATTTCTTTCAATTCTTTCAAATAATTTCTTTGTAGAAATTTCGAAGATTCAACTGGAAAGCTACAAATATTACTACAAAGAGCTGGATAGGACACCATAGTACATTAGAAATAAAACCAGAACAAATCCAAATTGTTGAAATCTGAGATATACTGAAAGCTCCATGTTATTTTCTTCCAAGATTGTTCTCTATATTTTACAATCATTATTAACAACAATGCTCCTTCAGTTAGCTCGCGATCTTCCATATTTCCGACATATCTTCCGAAGTTTACCAGAATTATCCAAACGAGCGGTGATATTGACATTTTCAATTTTTACTGAAGTTATGTCTCATATGTGTGAACTTCAACAGTAAAATTTAAGCATTGTCAAATGTATAATTTATGATCGTTCATTTACAATAGTTACGTTAAATGCTTGTGCTATCACTACAGTAATAACCTTAACTATTTTTGCCGTATATCCCTTTTCAGGTTTCAGTATACGTTTCAAGGAGATCTAAACAATTCAACATGTTTGTTAACAGTTTTGAGAAAGATTAATTTGGCTTGAAACGTTTCGAATCCCCTGGCAAAAAATGTTTTAAGTTATTGAATCCATGTGAATGTATCTACAGTGTATTTTTTTTGAAAGTAATTTATTGTTTATTATACGATATTATTGTATACTTTTTATTGAAAATTTATTTGATGTTTGAAAAAAGTTTAAAAATATTTTATGATACTTTTATATAATATATTTTACTAACTTGAGAAAGATTTCAAAACGCAGCAAAATACTGAATAAACCGCAGCTGATGGTTTTGAAATGTTTCTTCGATAAGAATGTACTTTTAGATATAAGAGTTATATGTTACAGTTTTTTTACAAGTTTTGCCATTTTTATTTAAAATTGACTGCCATTTCATTTTAACTTATATTTTTCGCTTCCGTAGTTATGTTTACGTTCCTATATAATATTTTTTGTAAGCTGTAGAGCATCGCAAAAAAATTCGAACGAATGACTGTGTGAATGCGTTTTCCTGGTTTACAAGATAAAAAGAAAAAAGAGAATTATCAGGTAATTTATGGAAATTCGAGAACCTGGAATGGATAACTACATATATGAAAAAACCCATGACAAAATTAATATTAAGGCATGATCCAAGTATCAAAATTGCGTATTTCTATATAAAATTATTGAAACATAGTTAGTTATTCATTCCTTGGAATCATGATAAAATGAAAAATTAGGTTTAGAATAAATTATCTGTGAAATTTGAGGCATTACGAAAATAAAAATAATTTGTAAGATATAGATAAAAGTTTGTGAAATTTAGAAAACAAATTGTTGCAATGTTTTGTTTATCAAAATCAATTTGATGTATGAAATGTATGTGTGACATGTAATTCTATTTACTGGAATAGCAAACATTAAAAAAAATAAAACTGTTGTTTAATTTCATGTCCATGCAGTGCCTTAGAAGTAATGGATCAAAATAATCTATGAGATTTGCCAAATTGCAAGGCATCGATTACATGAAAAGTTTGATTTGAAATAATAAAATTGATGACTGTCAAAGAGACTTCACAATTCAATGAAGATGTTTATATATCTGGGGAATAGACCAAGTTATCCTGATCTATAGAAATATAACAAACTAGCCCACGATTTTTGTTAACCAAATTTTCAGTTGAATCAACTAAATAGTTGTAGCATTTTTTCTGAACGAATGTATGACGTTATTCTTTAAATTAACAGAACATTTTCATTTATGCATTGATTGAAATACATCAAACACTAGATGTTAAATGGAGCTCACCTCAATACATTAGTGAGAACCGCGCCCAAAACATTTCAACAATTTTTTACGTTTAGCACGTACAAACGCACACACAAATAGAATGAAAATCACTGTTTTGGGTTTTATTGCGTCGATAAAGACCCTCAATGATAGTTTTTCCCAAGTATTTCCCATATGCAGTCTGCGATAAGTCGATCAGCTATACTCCACTCATATGTATTGATGGCAGTATTTTTGTTCTGGTTTTTTCAATAGATTCATTTTACGCCAGAGATTCCAAACTCTACTCATACTTTTCAAGTTCAGTTTTTGGGTTCAACTAGATTTTATAATAGCGAATTAGTGAACAGTGTGGTCTTAGTTAGTTATCACACGCTGGAAGGCAGCTCATCAGTTTTTTTTTGTTCTTATGCAATGAGTGGCCATTCAGTCTGAATAGAAACGGAAAACCATTGAAAAACATCAATCAGGACAATAAATAAGTGAATATCTACACGCTGAAATCAATTTCATGGTTTTACCTGTGACCCATATGTGGCGGCTACATTTGGTTTACAGCTTAGATAATCCAGTACCTACTCAACAACTGTGGTACCGACGATGCTCAATAGGCTGAAACAGCTGTCTACCGGTGGCTCTTAAATTGAAATCAATCCGCAACTGCTTTATTTTTATCAAATTTTATCAAAATCAGGATAAGCCACTAGTCTCCTGGTCTCCTGCCTTCGTTCGGTGGATGGTTTTTGGAATAGAAAATGAAATGTATTAATTTGCTTGTCCTTGTCCAGTTTGGGGAGCAGGATTGAATTTTCCACTCAAACCACTGAAAACACTGCAGAATATAGTTATGAAATGTATTTTCATATAAGACATATTTATTCATTTGACAGTTTATTCAGTTGACAAAAACAAATTTTCGAAAAGTAGGAGATTACAGCCGGTTCTCGGCCTCCTCACAGGACTATGGCGTAATTAATGGCATTTCAATGACTGATGATGTCATCAAGTTGACCTTGAAAATGTGTCTGGTGCATAGGTATGAATAATGTCATATAGAGAAACATTTTCCCCCACCACTTTTGACCTTGACTGACTTCTCACGGCCTCGAGCTATGTGCAATAACGTATGACCTTGAATATGGAAGGTGACATTGAGACTAGAGTCTAGCTCCGGTACGTGGCATTGAGGAGGACGTCCTTGAGCTATGTGCATGCAATATGACCTTGAATGTGGAGTTTGACCTTGCACATGGAATTGGATCTTGGGATAAGAAGAGGTAGATTCCATACACGGCAAAGTCAGGGTTTGACATTGTTCTTCATGAGTATTCTGTACAAGTTTGTTCAGAGTACACACACTTCTGCATACTACAAAGATCCCCCAATTAATAAGTGGTCCTTCCTGTTGACGCATCGAGTTGTGATTGGTGTTGGGGTTGTCTGTGACGTCAGGTGGGTCCAGTCGGATGCTAACCCTCGGGGCAGAGAGTGCACACGTTTGTACTCCACGAAGCTCCGACGACCTCTGCCTGCTCGTATCGCCTTCGATTAGCGCATCTAGATGGGAGTGGTGAGGTTGTCTGTGACATCAGAAGGTTCTGGTTCTCTAGTGGGTAACTGTTTCACTGCGGTATGTTCTTCTTCGAAACATTGCATAAATCCACATAGTTGAAAATTGTTTATATATTCCACATATTTTCATCGTATCCGTTTCAAAAGTTGATCTACATGAAATCAATAATGTAATAATACAGAATGATGTATTCAAAACCCAAATGTATTTTACTGCAATTTACTGATGGTGATTTGACTTGTATGAATTCATATACTACTGTGTATTTACCATGCACCCTGTACCTTCTATCATGAAGTTTTGCTGACATGAAAACACGATCTCTGGTCAATCATTTGTTTAAAAAATCTGTTTAAAATCTGTTTTTCCGTTAATCAGCTGTCGCCCCCATACGAACGACAACTCTCAGAAGTTGAGAAACTTGTACGAGCTAAGGTCTAATGAGGTCTTACCTTTTAACGTGTGATTCCTAACACGATAGTAAGTTGTAGTAAGTTAATTTTGTTTCCATTTCATTTATAGATCAGATGATTTATATGTTAATTGTAAGGAAAAATATAAACATTTTTACATATCAGTAATGATGAATTCACGGTGGCTAAGTTCACAATTCAATCAATCAAAGATGTGGATGCAATATGCACGTCAAAATTGTTTGCCGAAATGAAGATATTGTTTCAGTAAATTGTAAATAGTATCAAATAAAACAACTTTATATTGTTTTCACGTTTTATTTATCCAATATCCATTATACATTTGTTTGAAGACAATGTAAGTCCAAACTAATGAAATGCATACATTATACATAAAGGAATAAACATTACAAAATGAAACATGATGAAAATGAAGTGGAAAAACATTAAATGAAGTAGAAATTCAGTACAGAAAAAAATACAGTCAGAATTATAATAATAATGTAATATGTGTCATTATCTGCTGAAGCTGTGAACTGAGCCATCCAGTGCATTGTATGTCATGCAAAATGAGCACATATAATTTGGTGCTATCTGGAAATTTGGTTTCCCTGGTTTTAATCTCGACTTTCATATCGACTGTTGATGATTACGTAGCATTCGGTTAATGTGAACCATCGATGATTAATAGTGGATTAGCTCGAAATTGTACAATATCTATCAGAGGTGCTTTCATATCTTTTTCATAATAACTAAGATACAAAAAATAACTAATAAATAGAGTTTATTCTATGATTTTCACTATAAGGGTTTTACAAAAATCACGACACGTGTTTATGATAAAAAATAAGAAACTAGAATGCGATTGTATTTTGTTGAGTGGTGCGTTGTCATTGTATTTTCAATATTCCATAGGGTATTTTGAAATTTGTTGATATGACCGAACAGTTTACATTCAACGAATATACAGATATGAATGTATTTTATGGACGAGCATTTTCTAATGCTGCAGAAGCCTGTCGTTGTCTGTTTTCCGAGCATTTTCCCAATCGAACGGTACCGGCAAGTGAAACTTTCGAGCATGTCGATCGCAGCTTGAGAGAGACAGCTATGTCTAATGGATAATTAATTAGAGCATGTTGTTTTATTTCGATATTACTGTAAGTACAGTTTTGTCAAAACGAGGTAGTGAGTGCGCTCCTAGAGCTGTGCGTACCGTTGTATTGGAGGAAAATATTTTGGAAGCCGTCGCTGATGATCCTTCAATGAGCATCAGAAATCTATCACAACAGTTCCATACATCCAAGTCGACAATTCATAAAATGATTAGCGAACAACTGATCCATCCATATCACATCCAGGAGATACATACCATGACACCTGAAGATTTTCCAGCACGACTGATATATGTCAATTGGTTCAATAAGCAAAGAGAGAATATGACTTCTATTCATCGATTTTCATTCACTGATGAAGCAAGTTTCAGTAGAGATGAAGTTATCAACTCTCATAACCTCAATATATGGGCCGAAGAAAATCCCCATGGGATATTGCAAACCAAACACCAACGGAAATTCAACATGAATGTTTGGGCTGGTACCATAGGAAACCATCTTATAGGAACATTCGTTCTACATGACCGATTCAATGGAGAACGTTATTTGGAGTTCCTTCTGAATGTTTTAAATGGACTTTTGGAACATGTTCCATTGCAAACCCGAAGAGATATGTGGTTTATGCATGATGGCACATCTCCTCATTTTACTTTGATTGTGCGGGACCACCTGAACCATACTTTTGACAATAGATGGACTGCTAGAGGTGGGCATATGCATGGCCACCGCGGTCCCGGATTTAAATCCATTGGATTTTCCTGTAGGGACATCTAAAAAGCCTTGTTTACACTGAAACTATTCAGACAAGAGATGCTTTATTGAATAGAATAACATTACATAGTTAAATCATACGGAACGACCCTGGAATGCTATTTCAAGTACAGTCTTCGCAGACTTCGAAAATGTATTGAAATAGAAGGGTGTCATTTCAAGCAGTTTTTATAGCAGATTTTTCATTAATGTTTGCTCTTGAGGCTTGCGATTGATATTTACGCCATGAGTATGGTTAAGTTAACGTGTTTGCATTATAAAGATTCGTTATAAACATTTATTTCTATTTTCATTCAAAATTAATCTTTTCGAATAATGGCAGACATCTCAGGTTGGATGCCGTCGAACAAAAGCTCATTTTTATCAAAAATCGTTGCTACGATCGATTTTTCAACACGAATACTTTCATTCAGAAAATTGTCTTAATAACCTGATTTTCTTGAAAAATATTGAAAATATCTGTCATTTCAAAGTATTGGGGTGTGGACCATCGGGGTCCACATCCCAGTCCGTTCCTGAATTTGTACCACAACAACCGACTCCTGCACGAAAGCTCATCAAAGCAATTCATTTGTTCAGTCAATCACCAAAATTTGGTTGATTTTGAATATTCACTTGAAAAGTTGTCAAAGAAAAACATTTTTCATTTTGTAAATTTGAGGGCCGTAACATAGTAACAAAGGATTTTAGGAAAAAAAGTTATATGAAGTACTGGTGATATTTTAACCTCATCTATACATTCCCGAGAGGAAAAGAGGGAGTCCAGGGGCATCCTGTATGTGTGTTCATGTACTCGTAAACTTATGAGGAAATGATCGAACACTGGTTCATCAAATATATTCAATTCTTCACTGTTTGTTCCGAGCACCTCTGTTATTTCGTTACTTTCAGTACAATCGATTTTAAAAATTCAAGATTTCTCACAGACAGGGCGTGGTGTGCTAACTGTTCAGCATACATTCCTTTTTGGTAGTGTAATAGGTTCCAGCTTGTGGCTGCTGAAATTCTTAATAATTTTTTCTGTTATAACAAAAACCTATAACAATAGTTTTTCAATTTTCTTTAGTTCCAAAATAATAAAAAATGTCTTCTTCACTCATGAAATTCATAAGGTTATTTTTTTGATCCAAAATACGCACTGTGATGTGAATCAATTTATGGCCTTCTGGTCATCTGGTGTGAGGTTTCTTCGTAAGATTAAATCCAGGCTCAATATCGAATGAGAAGAGAATGTGGGATTCTTTATCGTTCGTAGTTCTGGTTACCTTTCAGTGGAAGAGCTTCATGAACCAAGAGCCGAATCGATCCCTCTACGAAACCCTTCATCACTTGGAAGGATCGATTGCAGCTTGAGAAATGGTTCTTCCTTACGACAGTTGTTCTGAAAATCTTGCGAAGAAAAATGAATTAGATAATTTAGGAAACACTTGCTACATGAATAGCATTTTACAAGTGTTGTTCATGACAAAGAATTTCAAGAAAGAGGATTTAACGATGATCTTCAAACATGACTCAACCTCTGACGGAAGCACCAAACTCTTACGAAGGTTCGAAATAGATGAACACTTCAATCTAGCAGACCACTATTATAATCTTCATGCTGTCATTGTCCACTGTGGTTCTGGCGTTGAATCTGGTCATTATTACGCATGGGTCAACGACGAAACAGACTGGTTTAAGTTTAACGATAGTCGTGTCACTAAGTGTTCTGACAATGTCTAGAATTTATTGGAACCTTTGGAGACACCCTACATTTTGTTCTATGAAAGAGAGGACATTTTGGCAAATCAATTTCTTCAGATGATGTGGTGCTGCAGGTTTTTCTACAGCTGAAAAAGCAAATGCGCCACTGGAATCAATGAAGTCGACTCGGAGTGCTAATTAATTTTTGTTGTTTCATAATTTCATGATTTGTATTACTTTTCCTCTTCAATTTTCATGAAAAAATATATCCATTTTCATGAACCAGATATTATATTGCATTATAAGCGGATGAGTCTCACAATTGTAGTGTTTATTGGTAGTGAGGATTCATGTACCTGATTCGATGGGAATATGTCATGACTGAACCCTATCATGCTTGCTAAAGACTTTGGATGTGTCAGATCAACCTTACATATTGATCGCATCTCTCATTTGAATGTATTGTTATTGGCATGAAGGTGAAAAATGTCATCGGCAATGATATCGGATTGGTATTTACTATGTGTAAAACAGTCTTCTTTAAACAATTTCTGACTAATCAAGTACGTGTCATCGAACTTAAAAAAAATGCTCCAACGAATCTGCACCACTGTTTTGTATGCTTTACAAACTTCCTTCTTGTTGGAAAACTGCTGGAAACTATATCTAAAAGAGCACGAAGAATCTTTCAAATTATGGACAGGTCACTTTACCATCAACGATAGAGAAAATCGTGGGGAAAGACGCATGGAAATCATGGAGAAAACTGTTAAGCAACACATTTATAAAATAGGTATATTTGAAATGCTTTAACATACATAGTGATCTTCAATACAGTTTTTGGGAAACAAGGATTTAGGCGACCTTCTTTATTTGGTACCCACATTTTCTAGAAAGATCATATGTGAAAGAAATAAAATGCGGTTTCTTTTGAAATCAAAAAACGAGAAATAAAAATATTTATTTGAAATAAATATTGGGAAACATAAATTATATTTTGGTTTCTCCTAGAACTAAAAAACTTTGTCAGTTTTCCAATAACATTTTTACATTTTGACCGTACTAATCCACTAATAATGCCATCTGTGAAGCAAATTTGAAACTCTAGACGTCTATGTCAAGAAAGCAGTAACTAACTCCACAGTTTTTGATGAAAATTTTTATACGTAAAAATGTTTAAGAAACAAAAAATCCGTAAATCTTACAAAATCCAAAGCACTAGCATTTTTTATCTGTCCATGTTCAGCATATTCTCGATTCGCATATCCTCATTTTTAGAGAACTGGTCCTGAACATGCGCCAGCGCAATTGCGCTTCATCAGAAATCTAGTTTGTTTTCATTAAAATTACGCGTTGTTTTGAGTTTGTTTTATTTTAATTAATTTCAGAAGGTATGTCATTTTGATTATCCCGAATATTCCTGAAATATTGTGCACATTGAAATAATTTTTGAAACCACTGATGGTAATAGGTGTTCAAGAAAAAAGAAATTAATTAAACCGGTTGATAACCTCATTTATTGCATGTGCAATTAATCTTTTTTGAAAAAGTTGACATTTGTGACTATTATTTTCAGATTTTCTTTAAAATTATATAACTGCGTTATTCTTAAAATAATTTCGATGAACATATTTTGTCTTCAAGTAAATGGCTATTACATCTGGGAATTGGTATGGTTGGGAGTTTCTTATATTGCTTTTTGCTTAAGCTGACAGGATATCATCATCTTTCAATTCTATTTCAGGATATCAAGATGTTTGGATCACAACTAGGAAACTTCCCAGTGAGTTTCTTGAAAATTGCTACTTGAGACTTTTACTCAGCTGATTATTAGTTTTCAGTAAACCCTTTCCTCCCTGAGGATACCATGAACAATTCATCTGAAGGAACTGCTAATACAAGTAATGGAGCTGGAGATAGTAATCAGTACCAATTCGACAAAACAAAATTGATCGTTAATTACATACCACAATTTGCAACAGAAAATGATCTTGCTCAAATATTTGGTCCACTCGGACAACTAGAAAACATTAAAATAATGAAAGACTTCAAAACTGGATATAGCTTTGGTTTTGGATTTGTGAAATATTCCAGCCCTGAAGAAGCTGCCAAAGCAATTGCCGTGTTGAATGGATTTAACTTCAGGTAAGATTTACACATATTTTGCATATTTATATATAATATAATCCCGTCCAACAAGAAATATGAAAAAACAAAAGGTACGAGCTTTTCTTATACATACTCTAATGAAGCATTTGCTAAAATTTTAACAAATATTTGCCTAATAAGTATTTATTGTTTATAATAGACTGAGACCTTCTGAGTTAAACTTATTCCTTTGATTTGTTTTAATCATAAGATACTTTTACAAAAACTTAATGGCTGAAAATTACTCTAAACTTTTTCGTCAACTTTACATTTTACTTCTACTTTGAGAAAGATGTCACAATGTAAATCAATAGACCCTTCAATTTTTTGGCATGGCTCAGCCTGAGTCATATTTTACGTTCAGTATTTTATCTAGTACAAATATCCAATCACATTTCATTTGAATTATTCAGAAGAAACGAAAAAGTAAGTGACCTAGTTGAAAAAGAAAAAATCCAAAAGTTACACCTGAAAAGAAATAATAATATTAATCATTTGAAACCAATACTTTCTATTTTATAAACTTCACAAAATTTTGTTTTGAATATCGTAAAATATAATGGATGTATGTATATATGTAATGTTCGTATTGAAACATGCAGAAAATATGAGTTATAGGTGATAATGTTACGAATGATCTTATATTTGCTCCCTGCATTTAGTGCAGAAAAAACCAATCAATAAAGTAGTTTAATTAGTACAATAACAATATTTTCTGAAATATGACCCTCAATTTGGTCTCAAAATATTTATTATTTAAAGTTAATTCCGTAAATAAAGGGAATCAATGCTAATCATAGTTTATTATGATAAAATCATTTGATGATATTTTACTTTTGATTTGTATAACATAGTATTGATAACCAACCCCTCAACCAGCTCCCTACTATTAAAATGCTGTGGATAGTTTTAGTAACTTTTTTCATTGTTCACATATGTGCTTTAAGTAAACTATGGAAGAATAGAGCACCATAAATAATTTTATCTAATGATTGGATTGTTTGTGGAAATAATATTGCTTTTCCAGCCCCCAATCTTTGTGAAAATGTTAAACTACCCCCCTCTTTATACAATTGATGCATTGGATTTGTAATATGATGAAAAGGTCTATAGGAGAGTTCACAATACTTTTACTTCTACTTCAAACTGAGTTCTCGAGGAATTCCTTAAAGTAATAAAATGTGCATGCGTTAACACACTGTTTAGTCAATATTATTTATAACTTAACCCTGTTTCGCAATCTGGTATTATGTTTCAAGTTTGAAAACGCTGCTTTGTTTAGTATTTGTTTGGTAGCCATCAATAGTGAACGTTTTCGGCGAATTTGTGAAAATGGGGAAAATTGGTCTGCTCTTTTGTTTACAACAGTAAAATATTGGGTAGCAGAGAAGTGAGGCCGTACGAGCTGCCTCGTCGTACTGAATGATCGTCGACTAAAAGTGTCGTGAAGATTTGTTCGAAGGTGATTGACAACTCATATCCTCAAAATAAGTCGCTGGTTCCGGGTCCGTACCGGGTATCCAACGTTTGTTTGAAGGTGATCAACATAAAATCGAGTGGTCCCAAGCTGAGATAAAACACAGGGAGGAACATTGTTTTAGAAGGAGATTCAAAGAAGCTGTATACATGTTGGCCAACAATGTATTCAGCCAAGCAAGCATACAGATACGAAACATATAGAAACCCATAATCAAGCAAAAAATGACCAACTCCCGCCAAACAGTCATCTCCCACTAAACCGGTGAAGCGGAACCCACTAAACCGGTGAAGCGGAAAAATAAAATCGAAGATAAATGAAAGTACTCGAATGATCCAAAATAGTCATCTCTCGGAGGAATTAGTCCAGTCATCACCCGAAGACGATTGTGGATACTAACAATCGAAACATCGTGAAGTAACTTGGCTTGGAATCTCTTAACTTTTTATTTTTAATTTTTGTTCAATTGTTCTATTTTTACTTGTAAGATTTGTGTAGATGTTTCAATTGAGTGTTTAGTGAAGTTTCACAGAAACAAATCAGAATTTTTGCGTTGTTTCATAACCATTTCATACCTCAGGCACTCTATTTGCCGGATTCAGCCCCCTCGGATTATTATCTGTTCCCAAACTTGAAAAAATGGCTCAGTGGTCAAAGATTTTCAAACCATGAAGAAGTGATGTTAGCAGTTGATGGCTATTTTGAGATGCTCGACAATTCTTATTATAAAAAGGGTATCAAACTTATTGAACATGGCTGTGAAAAGTGTGTAGAGCTGCAAGGAGATTATGTTGAAAAATAAATTTTTTTGAAGAAATTTTGTGTTTTCTTTATTAGGCTGGATACTTCTGGGACCACCGTCGAAGCCCGTTCTGCATCATTAATCATTTAGAATTACAATATGTCATAATGTAGATCAAATAGAGCATTCATACACCACACATATTACCCTAAATTTACAGTTTCAGCGCATGCGTCTCGTTTTCTTTAACTATGGTTTATGAATTGGTCACTAAATACTGCTTTAACTTTATTCATTTCAGAATCTCTTCAATTGTTGCACATAAAATAACACAGCTTGATGTCCGACTCCATAACACACAACAAATTAATGGCATACTACTCCCATAACCGACAAAATTTTTGACTAAAAACTAAATGAAGCAAAAAAAATACAAGCATTTGTCATTTGGCATGAGAAATAATTTAAATGCACATGATCAATCAATAAAAAACACAAACATCAACGTGTCAAAACATAATTTAACAATGATTTGCTATCCATGATGTTTAATCATGACAATATGATATTCATGAGTTACAATTAAATTACCTCATAGTAACATGTCTACCTGATAACCTCATTTCATAGAATTGAACCGTATCAAAAAAAATTCACAAATCTAAATCACTAAGTAATTGTAGAAGAATACCTGATATCGTTTTCTATATAATACATCTCCAATTTGTGATACTGACACCCTCAAATTTCAGTCTTCCCCTTTATTTTGTTAATTTCTAGCAGAAGTTCAAAGTTTATAATTACAATTTTTATTGGTTCAATCTCAATTTGATTCATTGTCATTCAGATACTTTTAATTTCATTAATTTGTGCATTTCAGGAATAAACGTTTGAAAGTTTCATATTCGAGACCCCCAGGAACCGACATGAAAGATTCAAATTTGTACATAACAAATTTGCCAAAAGATGTTACCGAACAAGATGTAGACATTTTATTCGGAGAATATGGAGAAATTGTGCAGAGAACAGTCTTGAAAGATAAAATTACTGGTATGCCGAGAGGTGTGGCATTTGTAAGGTAAATTTTTACTTTTCAATAGATCAATCATTATGAAAACTGAATAATAAGAAAGCTTTCGAAAAACTAGTTAATGTGATTAATTTTTTTATATTAGTGGAATTTACAGGAAATCCTTCCAACTAGTTTCAAATGAATAGAGAAATTTTAAAAAATTGTAGAAAACCATGGGCTTATAGTATTTTTTTTAACAAAATATAACAAAGATCAGAAACTGACTATCACAAAAATTTAGTACATACCAGTAGTAGTAGAAGTAAATAAACCTACACATAATATTGGAGAAATTAGGTGTATTTTAAACCACTATATTGTGGTTGCTGAGAGATGCTAGTGGAACATAACTGATTTAAATCTCACCCCAATTACTTATAATGTGAAAATGTTATCATTTTATTTACTAGATAAGTTATGAAATAAATATTCGATTTCAGGTTATCAACAACATTTTGAGTGAACTTTTGCAGACATGTTCTTTATTCTATCCGATTAAACACTTTCTGACATTTTTCAATATATCACTTCTGTTACTTGAACATGAGAAGTAAGATCAGTTGTTCGTATTGGAGGATTTTGTATAGACATACATTTTTCATCTGCGATTCAACTAAGAAATATAATAAGATAGAATAAGAATATAATTGGCAAGATGATTTCTGAACTTTGCTAAGGTTAGTCAAAAATTACCATTCATACCATAATTATTTATACTTACATAATGAGTTTCGTGTTTTAGTTCCTGTATATGACTGGCAATTGACTATAATTTTGTTCATCGATAGTCTATATTTCAATTCTTATGATTGAGGTAGCATTTTCAAACTTTTCAAAGAATAAGGTAGGTAAAGGTATTAGAGTTGCACATATTGAAATTAAAAATATCATATTAGAGTGAAGAATATCTTCTTAGATGTAAGTAAATCTAGCAGCGTATTGTTGTTTCTCATTGATTAACACTACAGATCAATTATCTCGTGAAACTATCAGAAATGATTAGCTTATCAAATTATGAAACAAAATTACTATTCATATTCGAAGTTTGTCAGTACTGCTTTCATTTTTGAACTAGTAAAGTTGGCATTTGACAAAAAATAAAATTAATTTATAGAAGTGAATTTTATGCATTTTCAGGAAGAATTGAGTCATTGGGATGCAATATTCACAAAAGACTGCAACATACTTTGAAAATATTGTTTGTTCTCTCTCCTTTGTCTATTCTGTTATCTTTCAGAAGTATGTAGGTACTTTCCAAGAATAAACATAATTTTCCAGTTTGCTGATACCAGTTTCTAATTTTCTATATGGTGAGAGCAACTTTCTCATCGAACATTTTTTATTGCTCCATGCTTTCGACTAGGTAGGTATATTCAAAGTGAGTGGGTCTATTTGACCTTCTTTGGCAACCCGCGAAGGTTTATTGTGGGTCACACCTATTCAAACTCGACCAAACAAATCCAACTTCTTGAAGAAGCCAATTACTTTATTTGGTGAGTGATCTTTCAGGTCGGCAGGTATCCTACTCTTGAGGATACAACTCACTTATTTCCTAGCTGCACCACGTAGCCTCCTAGGTTTGCCAGGAAGGGAGGTCATTCAGTATGTCCATCTTTGCAAATTTGGGATCGGATTCTTTGTTTACTTTAGGCTTTCTAGGACGAGAGGGCACGTGGTAACTCGATGGTTCTCTTGCTGATAACTGAGTGTGCCTCTAGGCACGGCTCCACAGACACCTTAGGAAGAAGCTATCGTTGGGATGTCATTCAGTTAGAAAATAATGTCATCAGGGATAATGCTGTTATTCTAATATCTAGCGATGCTATCGTGGATGCAGACACCCGATAGCTGAATTTGCTTACCATTCCATAACCCAAGCTGACACATTTGCAAAAATCTGCAGACAGCCATCCCCTTAACTAATTCAAAAATCATTTTTTGATTTTTTATTTTATCGAACCTAACAGAAACATTTCTTATAAACCCTCAGAATTGTGATATAACCGAGTTTGTGTCATGAATAACTTTACAGTTCTGGTGTCTAAGAAGAAGTGTTGGAAAAATATGATTAATCAATCATACATAAGAAGGTCTTTATGAGTATTCAATTACTTGATTTTTAGATACTCTAAGGGAGAAGAAGCTCAGGCAGCAATAGCCAATCTTGATGGAAAATTGTTGGAGAATGCAATGTTACCATTGAGTGTGAGAGTAGCAGAAGACCACGGAAGACAAAAAGCCCAATACTTAGAAGCGTGGAATCCCATGGCCTATAACAGGGGTAAGAGAAGGAATTTTTAAAGGCGTTTTGTGTGTCTTCAAATATGTATTCATTCGGTATAACTTTCTGTTCAATATTTTACGTTTTGTGGGTATTCAAAGTTGAACTACCAAATCAAATTGTGGTTTGATTAAAAAAACTGAATTATTCAGGTAATTGAAGTCATTAGTGATAATATTTTCATCTTACAGAAATTGTATTCTGGGAAATTCTCTTATTTCTAGAACACCAATTCAAGTATTAGATTTCTTGAAAGCTTCAACATTTCAATTACTCTAATTTGACTTTTTATAATTCTTACTTAAATGTTGAATGTGAGTAAGAGGTACCGTTCATAAACTTAACCCTGGTGATTGAACAAAGTATTCTTATAGAATAGGAAACACATTATTATTTAGTAGTTGTAGTATTTCAAATCCATTTTGATTTTCAAGTGAAATATTGTGTTTTTCCAGACAGTAATAATGATTTATCGACCGTTGGCAATTCAAACCAATATAAGTTTATTCATGGATGAATATAATAACAATGAAGAGAAGAGAATTGAAACTTTCTTTGTTTTTTACCACTTTTATAAAAGTTTCATCTGGTTAGCTGTTAGATTTTGCCGTAATTATATGTTTTACTTAATATACTGTGGTAATGTGCTTTTTTAGCTTCCAATAATGTTTCTTGATATTGTTGTTTACAAGTTTTATAGATATTTTTATGTTGTTCAGAAGGATTTCGCCTTTGTATATTATATGCAAGCATTAATGTTGTGGAATTGGCCGCGGTGGTAGTGCGCCCGACTCACGATCGGAAGACCGTGGATTCGATTCCCGCCTTGACCAGATATTTTTCTTGAGAGAATTTATCTGGTTGAAGCTGGAATGATTCTGCAACCGTGTTAGGAATCACACGTTAAAAGGTAAGACCTCGTTAGTCCTTAGCTCGCACAAGTTTCTCAAGTTTTGAGAGTTGTCGTTCATATGGGGGCGACAGCTGATTAACGGAAAATAGATTTTAAACAGATTAATGTATCTTTTGAGGCTGTAACCTCAGCACTTATCCATTTTGACGCTCTCTTTGATTTAATTCTTACTTTTGTGAGTGGAAAGCTAATGTTATAATAATACATAAATGTGATTTCATTAAAACAACGATAAAAATTAATCGGCGCTCCGGGGCGACTTGATTGATTCGAGTGGCGCATTTGCTTTTTCAGCTGCAGGAAAACCTGCAGCACCACATCATCTGAAGATCTTGCTCTACCAATGTCCTCTCTCTTATGAAACAAAATGTAGGGTGTCTCCAGAGGCTCCAACAGATTCAATGCATCGCCAGAACACTTCGTGACACAACTATCGTCAAACTTAAACCAGTCCGTTTCCTCTTTGACCAAGGCGTAATAATGACCAAATTCAACGCCAGAACCACACTGAACAATGACTGCATGAATATTATAATAGTGGTCTGCTAGATTGAAATGTTCATCTAGTTCGAAACTTCCAAAGAGTTTCTTGCTTCCGTCAGAGGTTGAATTTTTCTTTAGCATCATGTCTTGTACATACACTGGACCAATCTTCTCTTCACTTTATTTTCTTTAACAATTTTTGAACAACGTTTACAATTTGCTAATTCAAGTTCACTGGAGAAAAGTGACACAGCACCTTCTCCTGTCGCCATCTTGATATAACTCTGAGGTACTAAGTAAGAAAAGGATGCCTCGAAAAATTAATGATCGATAGGAATAGAAAATCTATCATTTATGTTCCTCATTGATCTGTTGTGAATGACCTATCTTCCTACTATTTTTGAGACTAGGTACTTGGGTAGTGCAGTAGCCAAGATCTTGTTGACGAGCGTATTGAATAAAACATGTTTCATCCAATTTCAACAGTTGCAATTCCGTAATATGGGGGGGTGATATATGCTTGAGGTGTAACCGCTTTTATAAAACGAATGCATTTTTGCAATCTTACACGGTGTTCATGTGATGAACAAAGTCTATAAACAATATCAACAGAGTTAGTAAGCAAGAGTACAAGATAATTGCAAAGGATTATTTGAAGGGGAATAGTTTTTTCAAGGCTTAGGTAGGTTCTCTTTGCAATGGCACCTAATGGCTTGGAGAGAATTTGAGCTGCTGGTCAAAAATAACACCAAGACATTAAGCTTCAGATACAGAAGGAATTAATTCTTTGTCGATTCATGCAATGAACTTATGAAAGCGTTTTATGTTGAAAGATAATCCAATAAGAATATTTTATGTTTTTGAGATATTATCTTTGTTCTGCACAAATGCTACTCCCACCACTCTGTTAAAAATGGCTGTTCTACTTATTGTAGTCTTTATTTGCAAATTTGGATAAATTTTGAAGTGAAAGTAATTTCTATAAGAAAAAATAACATATGACCATTTTATATATTCTTTTGGATGTTATAATAGAGAAGAATAAATTTATTTCTAATTGAGAAAAATGTTTCAATGTTTTCTATGTTTTTTTCTCTCAGAGAAATGAATTGAACGTAATTTCAACAATGACTCCATTTTTTTTTCTGAATAGATGCCAAATTTGAGGTCTCTGAACATTAACGTTCTCGAGTTAATTTCCAAATCATGTCTGACTATGCTAAAGAGTAAGCTTATGAACGCAGCCCTAGGCACTGAAATGTTTTTATAAAATTTGTTAAACAAAGCAGTTATTCATGAGTTTTACTTTTTTTGCTGTTCTCACTCCTGTGGAGATCTGAAGGTTCCTAATACTTTTTTGATTATCAAAAATTGTTTCCTTTACTCAAAATTTTCTTGTACCATTCAGTAATTGAATAGTTGTAGCATTAAAAACAATCAAAAATAAATTTAAATTTAATGTTTATTTCCTAGGAATACCCCAAGTTAGAGGAGTTTTGCCTTATAGAGATATTAATGTACCGAGAGGAAGTTTTCAAAATCGTTATGGCAGATTTCCTATGAATAACATGAGAAATATGGGAGCTGGAGATACTTTTCTTCCAAGCTCTTTATTCTATTGAGGAATTTGCGAATTTTTATAAAAATTATTTTTGTTTCAATTTTTAAATGCATTTCGTCGACAGTCAGCTTTTTTTCCTGCAAGTTAATGTGTTTTGTTACTTTTGTTTTGGGATGTTTTTGTTGTTCAGTTAATAATTTGTTCGAAAGTTGTTCTATGTTTTGTTTTTGCTGATTATCGGCGAATTGTGAAATTTTCCTCGTTTTAATTGATGACCCAGGAGACTGTTTTTTGTTAATTTTATGAAATTATTTAATGATTAATATACAAGTTTCTACTGTGTGTATTTATAACTAAGACTAATACTTTTCACATAAATTATCATGTCAAATGATTTTACTCCAATTTGTTCATGTGAAAAGTCAAGCATTCTATGAAAATGTAATTGTGTTATTTAAAGGAATATATTTACTTTATAGATAGAAAAAATTTGACTGATCAAATTCACTATGAATCTTAAAAGTACCTGGTAACATATTAGTTTATCAATCAATTTTTTCTATCATTAACTGTAAGAAAGTGTTACTAATTCTTGTATAATTTTATTTTTTGTGTATGTAATATGTGAAAATGTAAAATACATTATTTTTGTTGTAATTTGTTTCGTTTTTCATTATTCTTGAAGTTGCTGAAAAAGAGGAAATTCTTTATTTTTGCACATCTCTGGCACCAAAGGGAAACAAAAGTACCAACTGAATATCAGTTTATAAAAATAATAAACAGAAATGCCTAAAAACAGGTTTATTTATTTTTTTCCTGGAGAATTTTTTTTGAAATAATATCCGATAGTTTTTTGTATCTTAAGATATTTTATTGAATTTGGAAATGGACTCAGGAGTGCAAGGGCATACAGAAGGCTGTCAGGGTACAATCTTCTGACACTGTCAACATTCTGAAGCCTTGCGAATCTTGCCAATAATGTGAATGCTATGATTTTCTGTATATTCGCAAATAATTAACTATTGATTTCACAATACTTTTTTATACAACTAATTATGAACAGGATCAAGAGTTCAAATTGAAAAATAAATTTTTGTATCACATGAACGCAAATGCTCCATAAATACCTTTTTTCCCTTCGAGTAAGTAGCCATGTGGTCTTAAGAACAAAAGATGTTTGCTATCCAAGTTTGCTTAAAACTATATTTGGACAGCAAAATATATTTTAATTCAACATATGTTTCTCAAATTTTCAAAACCATTTATAAATAAATTGAATAAATTAAATGTAGTTGCTTGCGAAACACGTTTTGCGGTTTTGCAAACTGTCAAGTGGAAATTACACATTAAAGCAGTGGTTCACAAACTATGGGTCGCGACCCACAGGAGGGTCGCGGAAACAGATTAAAAACACTCGATACTTTTGAATTGTTTTTCTCATTTNAACCCAACCCAGTGTTCCAGCAAATGCAAGTCAACAAAAAATCGAAAAATGCTCATTTTTTGAAAAAAAAAAGAATAGTTAAAAGAACATTTGGAAAAATATTTATTTACAATGATTTGTACATATATTCATAAAATGAAAAAAAGACACGAAAACCTAGGTCCTAAATTCTAAAACTAATTTACATGCATTTTAATTTACATATTTATTTTGTATTTCACCTCCTCCTATCTTTCGACCTGCTCTCCACCTTTTCTTCGTCTCTGTGTTTTGACTTCTTATACCTATCTCTTTCGTCTCGAGAATATTTATCATCTCTATACTTATCATCCCTATCATACTTATCCTTTCTATCCTTTTTATCATCATATTTGTCCTTTTCGGAATAGCGATCTCTGTCTTCCTTGTACCTGTCTTTTTCATATTTTTCATATCTTTCAATGTACCTGTCATTCTTTGAGTCTCTATCATTGCTGGGTGATCTAGAAGATTTTCTCTTCTCCCTGAAAAAAAAAACAATTTCAAATATATGAAAATCATTGCATTAATACACTGCAGACAGAGCGAAGACAAAACATAATAGTCAAATTGAATTGAATACCTCCTCTCGCCAAAGTATTCAATAGGTGAGTTTTGTTCACTGTAATCTAGAAGGTAGAACTAGAACTTCTGGCATGAAATGAATCTGAGGAAAACACTTTTCACACCACAACAAAAACACTGTCTTTCGTTTTGGTAACCAATTTAACATCATCAATAAATGATAAAGGTCTTCATCCTTTCAATAAATTGATGGATGTAGCCGTTACTAAGTGGTAGATCATGATGAAAAGAAAAATGAAAATTTCTATGTTTTTACAACTTTTATTTGTAAGTAACGTTACTGCAGTTTAGTCCTATATGGATATTTTCAAAATTAAACAATAAACTAAGAATGATTGATTACGTTCGCTAATATATACGCTAATTTATGACTGTCTGGATGGAAAGAATCGCTTGGGATGGTGATGTCTGTATAGCTAGGTTTTCTGAAAACATTGAACTCGAATTTATTCTGATTGTGTGTAATGGCCAGGTCTAAGAAATTTATTTGTTTCTCTATCTGTTTCGAGTGTGAACTGAATGTTGCTATTGAGATTGTTCATGAATGTCATAAATTGGTTCAGCTGTCATGTAGTACCTCTGAAACAGACAAGAATATTGTCTACATATCTGTACCAAAAATGAATATGTTTTTTACCCAGGTTTACTATCTTGGTCTCCAAGTTGTTCATAAATATGTCTGCTAAAAGTGGACTAAGGGGTGAACCCATTGGTAAACCTGAATCCTGTTTATAGAATTTGTTGTTGAACTGTAGGTAACTCTGATTCAGGCACACATCGAAAGCTGTTGAAACCTCAAAGGAAGTGATATGGTCAACTTTGGCTTGATCTAATGTCTAAAATGAGGGGCTTACACTCGTATGGTATGTTGGAGAACATACTATTTACATCGAATGAAACTAAAATTGAATTATGTGTCTTGGTTTGGTTCCTTATGTTTTCTACTAAAGTCAGTGAATTTTTAATGCTGTGAGGTGGGACGAAATTGGTAATATTTTTGAACAACTTGTTGAGATGTATTCCTAGTTCTCTTACCGGACTATTTATATACGAAACTACCGGTCTTATGGGGTTATCATCTTTATGTGTTTTTATCAGGCCATACAGTTTAGGGCAAGAGGAGTTCATGTTGGTGATTTTCCGTTTCTCTGATTTTAGTATCTAAGAGGAAATTTTTCAAATTTATGAACAACTTGGAGGCCAAGATAGTAAACTCCGACCTGGGTAAAAAACATATTCATTTTTGGTACAGATATGTAGACGATATTCTTGCCTGTTTCAGAGGTAGGTACTACACGACAGCTGAACCAATTTATGACATTCATGAACAATCTCAATAGTAACATTCAGTTCACACTCGAAACAGAGATAGAGAAACAAATAAATTTCTTAGACCTGGCCATTACACACAATCAGAATAAATTCGAGTTCAACGTTTCCAGATAACCTAGCTATACAGACATCACCATCCCAAGTTTTTTAAATTGGCCCATGCGCATTGTGAACTGTAAATTCAGGTACTCAATCAAGTACCTTAATGGTATATATTAGCGAATGTAATGAATCATTCTTAGTTTATTGTTTAAGTTTGAAAATGTCCATATAGGACGAAACTGCAGTAAAGTTAGTTACAAATAAAAGTGGTAAAAAACATAGAAATTTTCATTTCTCTTTTAGTCTTCATCCTTATTTATCATCTACTGATGAAGCTAATTTGGATAGCGGAAGACACGGTTTTCTTGTTGTGGTATGTATGGGAAAAAGAAATGATCAGAAAGAGCAAATAACTTTTGGTGAGAATGACAGACTTGGAATAAGATTATGCAAACATAATACATCATTGATACTAAAGTCTGGCGGGATAGTGCATCAGGTTCACTGGTATGTTCTACTTGTAGATGACACTTGCAAGGTGTGTTGAGATGAAAATATCAGTAATGCCATAGATAGGATAAATTTACTATCAAAGAAAGATTACCAACATTTGAACACAATTAACTTTGATAATATGAATGAAATTTCAAATGAAAGAATTTAACTTAAAACCATCAAGTATTTGAGATTCTGGATAGACAAGATTTGAAGAATCGACAGTAGATTTATTTTCAGAATTGTGTATAACCCAACCCAGTGTATTTCTGAAATTATATAGTCTACAATTTGGTTATCAATCTATCGGTTATCTATTAACAATAACTACCAATAATGGAAGCTCTATGGGTTCTTCACACTTATCCAAAAGAGTACACAGGTAAAAAAGGAGACCGCCATTTTGACCCACAAAAGTCAAATTTGTGATGAAATTTTGAACAATTCGTACTGTTTTTATCACTTGGTTGAGGATTCAAAGGAAGGCATTTCATTATACCCTCATGATTTCAAAAAGTGTGAAGTTTGATTTCGTAGGACTTTGAACGGACAAGTTTTCCATTTTCATTGAGAGGACTTACAACTCATGTACGTTTGATAGTTTTCACATTTTGTTTAAATGAATACTCTCCATATAACCAGATGTCTTTAAATAATCGAGCTCTGCTTGTAGGGCCAGGTTCCATAAGACCTCCTAGGAGCTAGGATGTACCAGCTTTTGTCATCAAGGGATTTTTTTAGAGAATTCTTAACAGCGTACCTAGAAAGTGAGTCCTGCGGACAGGGTTTGATCCATCTTGTTTTTAATTTTTTAATATTACATATGTTTCAATATATCTTGACATCGTAGGAACTCACTTATTTGTGAAATCATACATTGGCCAATATAATGGGTGTAACGAATAGCAACTAAATTTTGATTTTGAAATATTCATACCAAGTAGTTAGCAAAAAGTTTTATATAAATTTCATCATTATTAAATGTAAGAATTGAACTCCTTTGAATTTTTTCAAGAATCTCCTGTTGAATGTTATTTATGTATTGGTTTCATATCAATTTTTTCCAAACCAGAAAAATCATTCCTGTATTTTGTATTGTAAAAATTAAGTAGGTTATCTCCAATATGAACTATGCTAACATAATAGAAAAATACTTTTTGTACCTCTTCTTCTTTGGAGGAGGTGTGTTACTCCTGGACCTAGAGTAACTTTTCCTTTTATGGCTCTTTTTATGATTTCTACTGGTAGTTGATCGACTCCGTGACCTATGCTTCTTGGATCTTTTTCGATGTTTGTTGTCTGGTGAGTGTGTGGCTGATCTCGACCTTGATCTTTTCTCGTTGATCGGAGGGGCAATATGGCTTCCAGAACGACTGTAATGAAAAAGTATAATTTTGAAGAACCATTCAATTTATAACTTCTTTGGACATAAGCAGAATAGGACACATAGGCAAGACATATGCAACATATTCACGAAAGAAGAACGAAAATGGAAGACAAGCACGTTCAAGATGTTCTTCAATCAAAATCTATAATTCCAAATCGCCTTTTGAATAAACACCTGCAGGAAATAGTGAGAATCAAGCAACGGATACAAAAATAGAAAGCTGCTCTACCATATCTATCATTGCTGACAGGATATTTTCCCACAATTATTTTTTAGTTCAGATCTGATTTTTTTCTAATCTAATTTTTTTTTGTTCTTTGAAAATATCCAAACATACTTATTCAGAGATTAGAATTTGAACAGCTCTGTGTGTTATACAGTGAATTTCTTTAATATCCCCCCTTTTTATTTTTTGAACGGGTCAACTCAAAAAATTGAAATTTGGGATAATGAAATTAATGCATGAATACTTTATTTTGAAGTGAAATTTACAGACGACACTTTCAAGATGGCGACTGGGCGCCATCTGGGAAAAAAATTAAATGGAAAGGGTTGTCTTGTGACACATCATTTTGAAGCTCCTGACGAATACTTCACAACCCTAAAATATGAAGTCAAGTAATTACACATAGCACATACAAGCAACATCTGATGCTTCTGTGGTTTCTACGATGTTTATTCAACTGTATGTATTACTTTAGTTATTTCTTTTTATGATTTGAATCTGAATATACATTTTTATTATTACCATATCCGTAGTTTTACTAGTAGAAAGGTACAACCGATAAGGTTTGTTGAGTTATTTTTTGTTTATAAAAACGACAAAAAATGTCAATACGACAATAAACATCATTGTTCAGTTAGAATATTCTCATTTAGTTTTCGGTTTTACTAGTAGAAAGGTACAACCCGATAAGGTTTGTAGAGTTATTGTTTGTTTATAAAAACGACAAATAATGTCAGTACGACAATGAACATCATTGTTCAGTTAGAATATTCTCATTTAGTTTTCGATTTTACTAGTAGAAAGGTACAACCCGATAAGGTTTGTAGAGTTTTTTTTTTTATATAAAAACGACAAATAATGTCAGTACGACAATGAACATCAGTGTTTAGTTAGAATATTCTCATTTAGTTTTCTGTTTCACTAGTAGACAGGTACAACCCGATAAGGTTTGTTGAGTTTTTTTTGTTTATAAAAACGACAAAAAATGTCGATACGACAATGAACATCATTGTTCAGTTAGAATATTCTCATTTAGTTTTCGGTTTTACTAGTAGAAAGGTACCACGTCAACAATCTCTAAAATGGTCAATTCTCGTCCATTGGAAGAAAAAATTGAAGCGATTTTTATTTACGGTGCAACGCGTAACATTCACGAGACCGAGAGGATTTTCAATGAACATTTTCCGGATCGTCCTATCTGTAGAAAATATTTGAGAGAACTTGTATCCAAATTCACAACTACGGGTAGTGTACATAACAAAAAGCCCCCAGGTCATATATCCATTCCGGAAGAACAGCAAGTGCAAATAATTGGTGAGATGGTAGTGAATCCTGAACAATCTACTTATTCCGTCGCGAATGTTTGTGAGGTGTCTTCTACTATGTGGAGACTTTTTGAAATTAAAATGGTACACCAATTAACTGAAGATGACCCTGATCGAAGAACAGAATTCTGCGAAATAATGACATAAACCATTGCAAGGCATCCTACCTATCTCCACAATATTTGTTTTAGTGACAAATGTACATTTTTTGAATGGCAATGTTCACAGACAAAATTGCCGTTATTAGAGTGACACCAACCCTTACGTTTTTCTGGGAAACACATGCCCACATTCCAGAAAAAATCAACTTTTGGGCAGAAATATTGGGAAACCATATTGTAGGACCTCTATTTTTTGATAAAAATTCAACAGGGGAATTGTATTTGAATATGCTGGAAACTACTGTTGACCGTCTCATCACTGACATCGTCGAAGCGAATCCTAATGAATTCGATATGGATATTGTATTCCACCAAGATGGAGCACCACCACATTACTCCAGACAAGTAAGAAAATATTTGGATACTACTTTTCCCCGTCGTTGGATTGACCGTCGAGGTCCTACAGAATGGCCAGCCTGCTCGCCAGATTTGACAACTTTGGACTTTTTTTATGGGGCTATTTGAAGCAAAAGGTGTATGAAACTGAACCTGCTTCAATATTGGATATACGACAGAGAATAATAAATATTTGTAGAGATATTGAGGATACTATGTTCGAAAATGTTTGGCGTGAAATTTCGGATGGGCTGTTCATATGTCAAGAAGTTCAAGGCAACCATTTCGAGCATCTTCTGAACTGACCTCAAGCTTATTACCTCATATTATGTAGTTAAATGTCAATGTATTCAGGCAATTATCAAAAGTTCTGCCATTTTGTAGTAGTTGAAGATATTGACATTATATTCTAGGGTTGTGAAGCATTTGTCAGGAACTTCAAAAAGATTTGTCACAATACCTCCCTTTACATTTAATTTCGTTTCCCAGATGGCACCCAGTCGCCATCTTGAAAGTTTCATCTGTCAATTTTACTTCAAAATAAAGTATTCATGCATTAATTTCATTATCCCAAATTTCAATTTTTTGAGTTGACCCGTTCAAAAAATAAAAGGGGGGTATTAAAGAAATGCACTGCATATACTTCCTTATGTCTTTTATAAATTCCAGAAAAGAGTATTGGAAGTATTATGATTTTTACTTTAATGTAATGAATGAAAACACTTATGCCTAAGTTCCACTAGGTATTTTACCCGAAACGAAACCGGTCCTAAAAATAAAATACATTCAAAATACATTGAAGTGATCACAAAATAAACAAGTCATCAATTACACATTATGATTTTTTCAAAACCATTGTGTTTGCTATATTCATGGGAAAACTGTTATGAAAATATTTATATACTACCTAATAAAACCTCCCCATGCATTGTGAGCTCCTGTAGTTTTTTGTTGGCTGGGACTGGAATCTGTATTATTTGGAGTATCATTTCCTGAACCTCTAGCCTTAGCTCTGGCAGACTTGTACTTCTCACAGAGATCTTCAACTTTCTTCTCTAAACTTTCAATATTTGCCTGGAACATAAGATATATAAGTAAATCACTGACTTCAATTGTGAAATTGGTTTTATATCTTCATTTTTTTTACAATAGTTGGGAATAATTTCACATATCGCATGAGTTTTACGTATAAGTTTCTAAGTTCAGTTAGTTTTTTGTTTTGAAAGAAAAAAAAAACATGAACAATTTCCGGGAAACAGATTTCAAACTCCAAAATGATTAAAATATACGAGAATCAGTCGGATAATGAAAGTAAATTTAAAATAAAGTGTAACAACAAAAAAACTAAAACGTTAATTCATAGCTTGTACTAATCATCAAAAAAGTAACCGCAATGAAAGAAATGTTCAAATGTGTTTCAACTACATACCTTCGGTCTATTATAAAGTTTCAATATCCTAACACTTATATCACGAATATCTTCTTCAGTTGCCCCAAAGATCGAGAACCATGAAGGATTTTTAGGTAGAGGTAGTTTCAATTTTCTGGCAGTTAAGTATATGCAGGCACACGCAACTGTTTCTGGCTGATAGCGAACAAAAACATCAGTTCTTAATGAATCATTCATATAATTCCAGGAGTATTGCATCAATTTTTGATGATGGTGGAACCCCAGAACTTGAAGGTACATGACGATGATCTAAAAAATTACAAAGTACTTTTTTTGGCTTTCTACTACTCCATCTCGATACAAAAAAAAATCACTCCTAAAAATATAACCCCTTCAATTCATATCAAATTCTTCTGCATAGAGTGGATGCCAATTTGAAATACTGCTGAACTTCAATAAACACATTTTCATTGCTTTGCATGAAATTTACCTGAATATATGTTCCACTTGCTTTATTTTTTCTAGCATAGATTCACTGCTAAAAGTGACTTCGTATGACATAATATGTACTAAAGGTATTAAGTAGATGTTTTTAGAGTGTTTCATTTTTAGGCGACATTTTTTTCTTTTTTGCACTCCACTCATTGTGATTTAAATGACAACAGATTCTAGGAGGATGATAATCACATGGAGGTAAATGACCATCATTCGAGTTTCTAACAATTGTTTGTATAAAGATGGAAATGGAAGTGAAACAGCTTTTCTTTCCCAAAAACTAGTCCCTCATAAGAAATACCCCCTTTCAATTCTTACAAAAGTTTATCTTGCAAATGAATTTACATTAACATCACTCGTGCTGTAAATAACAATTTGATGAAGAGAATTAATGAATGCCTGGGAGTTAATGGAAAACATATTTTGAAATAGTTTTGATATTTTGTGTGAAACAATGTAATAAATATTTTTATGAAGCATTTAGAATAAACATTTTTCAATTCATTATTTATTCATCTTAAATCCTGTCTTCAATTAAAACCATGAGGGAATATTAATATCTCTAATTAACTTGCTATAACCATATATTTATGGTGACATGACAAGTTTTATTCTTTCAAGAAGTAGTAAATATCTCGTCAACTGTTGATTTTTGATATAAGAAATAATGTTTCATGAAAACGAGTCAATATTATCTCGGAATTTCAAAACTATCTTAAAATACAGGGTGTTTAATTTGAAAAAACTGAGTTTTGCCCCATTTTTATATATTCAGAATGAGTCATTGATTCCGAACACCTTGATGAATAAATAATAACTTATTTATGTATTCTATCAAACTTTTGAATTTTATGGGGTATTCCGACATGTGAAAATATACAGGGTGTTACATTTGAATTAGGGAAGTTTGTACTAACTTCCGGTTTAACTGGAAGCGTTGGAAAAACGCCATCATTTTCATGTGATAAAGCATATTAGAAAACCTATATTTGCCAAATTTCAAGATATGAATTTTATAATTTCCCAAAATACGATCATCAGACGGTCATCGCGTTGTACCATGTATATGGTCAAATTGAAAATATATGGTAACTTACCTTATGAGGGTGTTTTATATGGACACAAAATCCTAACTCTTTGAGTATTCGCCTTTCAGCTTTGATAACTAAATTTTTTAGATGGATGTAGCTCTGGTCCAATATAACTGGCTGAATTGGTCTGCACAAAACGAAAAAAAAAAATAACAAAAATGAAGATTATCAAGTTTCAATGTGGATTCTAGAATGCTTTTTCTCTGAAAACATAACATTTAATCATCACAAAGTCAAATGTTTAATGAAGATACACTGAAGTCACCTGAACACATTTTTCCATTCTGTCTTGTAGTATTATAGTTTCAACATTTTTCGGAATCTTGTAGATTGAAGACGAAAGGTTATTGAGGATTACAGTTCTTACTAATGAATTCAATCGACATGTAACAAAGAATTGTTGAGAGGTTTCTGAAGAACAACAATTATTTTACAATACAGATAAGTTATCAGTGTCATAATGAGAAGAACAAAAGTCTATTTTTTGTTCTCACTGGAAGTTTCTTTATTCTAAATATTTCACAAGAACAATAAAGTGGTTTACTATTCACTATAACAATGGTAGGGTGATCTGAGAAATAACTCAATCAAACAACCTAATAATGTAATTTAATATAATGAGATTTAATAAACTCTAAAAGTTTATGTATGAAAGGAAGTATGAAAAATCAATTATTTCCCAATTTTTCTTCGATTTTTAATATTTATTGTAATTGAACCTGCTTTGTTGATAATATTTGGTTTTATGAAAAACTAATGATCAAACATGTATGTAAGAGATCTATAACCTTAAGAAGAGTTTCTACTTTATATATAATACTTAAATTTGTGTATCAAGAGCTAGGTCTTTCTGGAAGATGAATATTACTCTGAAAATGTTTACATATTAGAAATCCATTCAAATTACACCATCCCTGAATATTACTGGAGTTTTATCCCAACACCATAACGTTATTTCAACACCTCGACAAGTGTTTCGATCACCAAGTGATCATCTTCAAGAGGAAAATTATTCTTCCTCTTGGTGTTGAAATAAAAAACTCCAGTAACAAGGCCGTAGCCAGGGGGGGATCAAGGGGGATTGATCCCCCCCCCGAAAGTTCTACAAGCAACGGCCACCCAAAAATTATATCAAATACAACGAGTGGCTTGTTTAAACATCACAGGAGGTTGCGTTAATGGCCATGTTACGATTGTGCACGACTGGTGTAAACCTCGAAGTAGGAATGGTCAATTGAGGGTGAGCCTATGGTGAGAAGCTTACTGTGCAACCTCTGCTGCAGGCAACGAGTGATGCAACTGAACCCAGATTTGTGTTTAATAAACCCTACAAAATACAAATAAAACAGAGCTCAGAGTCTGATGCTACAAATGCAATACGCATATATACAGACGGCTCAGAAACCAAAGAAGGCTCAGGATGTGGGGTATACTCCAGATCACTAAGCCTAAAGATTAGGTGGGGAATGGAAAAAAAATACCAGCATGGTTCAAACAGAACGGGCTGGTATCTCAATCGCCACAAAAGAAATAACCAGGAAAGGAATTTCTGGCAAAAACTTAACAATCTGCACTGACAGCAGACAAGCCCTATTAGCCTTGAACAGACAACAAGTTACCTCAGGGCTAGTACTAGAGTGCCACCAAGATTTAGCCAAAGCCTCGGTAGATAATAAAATCCTGAGGTGGATTAAAGGGCACGACAGGAGTAAAGGTAATCGCATTGCCAACTCTTTAGCCAAGGAAGCGGCTGGACTAAGAATTTTAGGACCCAGTGGCACCTACGGCCTGACGATTCGACAATTGCGGAATTAGCCAAACGATATACCCATGCTCAATCCCTAAAGAGATGGGGTGAAATCAAAGGATGCAATCTTGCCACACTGTCAGTGTGTCCACTGGCCCCATAATATGGGGCCAGTGGAAACACCTCTATGCAGGTGTCCTATATGAATGTCCAGAGTTATCGTCAATGAGAGTGTGTGTTCTGCGAGTCTTGGCCTACACCTGCCGATATAAAGGAATTTCTCCTAGTGATCTGTCCACCTTCCTGGAAAGGACCGGATGGACAATGACTTAGGAGGACAACTTCTCGAGAGGATGTACAATGGGCCTACACTCACCCTTCCTACTCTACAGATACTATTGGAATAATAAAATCCGTTAGAAATTTTATCAAGTCCCTCCCCAAAACGAACTAAGTGTCTTAAAGAGGATATTGAAAAAACTTCCCCGAAACACAATGGAAAAACCTTACGGCAATGTGCGTACAAACTTTTAAAGATTTTGGCGACACTCCCTGTTTCCACATGTACCCCTGAAAGGACTTTCTCTTCTCTGAAACGCCTCAAAACTTATTTAAGAAACTCCACAAGCCAGGAACGACTAAAAGGTTTGGCGTTAATGTCAATCCATCGTAGAATTGACATCGACACCGAGGAGGTAATTGATTTGTTTGCTGCAAAAAAAATTAGAAAATAAATTTGATTTTGTAAAAAGATGTTAATATTTCTGTAATGGTTTTCTAATAAATATATATGATCATGTGACAACATTTTCTTTCTTTCGTTATTTTTATATTTCATGTTTTTCTATTGTTTCACCAAACCGAATCCCCCCCGAAATTGTTTTCTGGCTACGACCTTGTCCAGTAATATTCATTACTAGACCAAAGGTTCCAAACAGTGCATCACAAGTAAACCATCCCTGATCACTTGGGCAAAATAAAACATAGATATAAACAATATATGTACACTAGATATAGAGATTGATTTATCAGAGAAGCTTTTATAAAACGTCAAGCTCATCATTCATAATTTTGAAATAACAGTACCTTCATCAAATAATATTGATACATTAGAGAATTTTTTGGTAGGGCTGTCTACAATGTGAACGGAAACAATTTGAACTATGAAGCTACAACCAGTGAATGACATGAGAATTACCAGAGAAGTATAAAAATACTTGTTTTAATAAACGATTACTTTTTGGCATACAAAAAGTATGTGGAAAATGAAACGTTTTCATTTTCTGTGCATTATTGGAGAAGTAGAAAAACCAAACAATAATTTCTCATAAATTTAACTCCTGGCTGAAATGAGAAGAAACTGAGTTAATTTTGTAATTTGTGTCTTTCAAATTACATAGATTCTTCAAATTGCCATTATCACAGGACAAGATGTGTTTCCAACAGTCTTAAATAATCAAAACTTGAGCAAAATTCATTGAAACAGCATTCAAAGTGCAATTACTGAAGACAGATGAGTTACAAACAAGTGCTTTTACCCAAAACTCTGGATCTATTGGGAGTAAAACAAGATTCTTCCAAGTCGAATTTGAAATTGATATTTATCACCACACTCCAACTGAGGTAAGTAGGTACCAAGTTAATGAATACATCCCAACAGTCACCAGTTCCAATTCAGATGTCATCAATTAAGAATTTAATTTATCGGTTCCATTGCAGATTTGATATATAACTCGTTTATGCATTTCTCTAAGAATTCCAAAAACTATATCTCACGATTTGATCTCCACAAACTTTATTTGAAAAATATATCACACGTTTCGCTAGCACAGTAGCTTTACTATTTGAATTCAAATCATTTGAATTATTGAAATTACTATGGATCTTCATCAAGTAACTGCCGAATCAATCAGAAAATTTCTCTAAGAAAGTATGTGAGGCAGGTTGCACCAATACTAATCCTTTTTGACAATAGGGACTATCCTGCATCGCATTTTACCGGCTTAAAACCACTTAACAACCACCACAGGAAAGAAGAAACAAAGAAACATCCAATAAATATCATTTCCCATCTTCTGCCTGCCTAGAAGTTTATTTCAACTCTGATGGTCATTATTTATTTCTGGAGTTGTTACGGTCATTCCCTCAAGTGTGAATGTGCATATTCATTTTTCAATGAAGCAACCTTCTAATGACGAATCCTGGTTCAACAAAAGATGCGGGCAAGCTCTCTTCTCTAAGAATCTGGCCTAGATATAAGGTGGGCTGAAACGTAGGCTAACAAACAGATGGCGCCACTAGTATTAAATCCATGATTTTTAGTTAACCATAACCTTCAAAAGACACGTAAAAATTATATATAGGATTATTATTTTGTGAGATATAAAATTTTGAGTGAAGCAACTTTGGTTAGTTTGAAGAAAATGGATAAAAAGCAATTTCGTGTGTTGATAAAGCATTGCTTTTTGGCGAAAAAAATACTCTTGAAGCCAAGGCTTGGCTTGATAAACATTACTCGGACTTTGCACCAGAAAAATCAACCATTTAAAAGTGCTCTGTTAAGTTCAAACAATGTGACATGAGCACCGAGGACGATGCACGCAGTGAACGCCCTAAAGAGGCTGTTACCGACAAAAATATCAAAAAAGTCCACAAATAACTTTGGATGACCTCAAAGTGAAGTTGATCGAGATAGCTGGGGTTCTAATGATATCAAAGGAACTTGTTGGGACATCGTGCATGAATATTTGGGTATGTGAAAGCTCTGTTCAAAGTGGGTGCCGCACAATCGACCAAAAACAACGAATTGAAGATTCTGAGCAGTGTTTGAACCGGAATTTATGCGTCGATACTTGATAATGGATGAAATATGACTCCATAACTCCAAACCGGAATCAAAACAATCATCATCTGAGTGGAATGCACTTGGTGAACCGACTCCAAAGCGTACAAAGACGCAACAGGCTGGCAAGGTTATGTTATGTGTATTTTGGAATGCGCATGGCAAATTGACTACTTTGAAAAGGAAAAACCATCACCAGCGAATATTATATAGCGTCATTGGAGCTATTCAAGGACGAAATCACGGAATAACGGCCCAATTTCAAAAAAAAGAAAGTGCCGTTTCATCACGATAATGCACCATGCCACAAATCAATGAAAACGATGTTAAAATTGCATGAATTGGGCTTCAAATTGCTTCCGCATCTACCGTATTCACCAGATCTGGCTCCCAGAGACTTTATTGTCCCCAAACCTCAAGAGAATGCTCGCTGAAAAGAAATTCAGCGCCGAAGAAGTCATCGTCGAAACTGAGGCCTATTGAGGGTAAAGAGACCCCCGAATAAGAATTCGGGGGTCTTTCCGAAGGTTTCATTACA